ATGCATAATCATTCGTCCAGTTGTTGATGATCTCTAACAGAAGGATCATGTATTGAGGTTGCTCAAAGAAAATCTGGAGAGAGCTAAGGCCAGAACTAAGTTACTATGCAGATAACATGAGAACTGAAAGGGTGTTACAAGTCAGAATTCAATGGCATTCAGAAGTTCACTCAGGTTGGTGGTTAAGTATTTTGGACCTTTCAAAATCTTAGAGAAGATTGAAAGTGTAGCTTACAAGTTGCAGCTGCCAGCTCATTCCAAAGTTCACCCAGTGTTTCATGTATCCCTCTTGAAGAAGCATGTGGGATCAGCTCCTATCACTTCCACTGATCTACCAGATTTGGAGAATCCTGATGAAACATTGTTGTGGCCTGAAAAGGTTTTACAAAGAAGGTTTATAAAAAGGGGAGATCAGAATGTGGTTTCGCTGCTTATCAAATGGAAAGGAATGGAAATAGAAGACTCATCTTGGGAGGACCATCTTTTTATTAAGAATCAGTTTCCTAGTTTTCAGACTTGAGGACAAGTCTGTTCTCAGCAGGAGGGAGTTGTCATGCAGAAGTCGGGTGACCCGGAGCTTATTCGGGTAATCAAAAATTGGGAATTAAGGATTTCCTCCTGTTGCTGTACGGTGTCGTTTTCTTTAGTTATAAGCATTTTGGCTCTTCACGTGATTTCCATGCATGCAGACAAAATGAGACCGACATTCTGGAAAGTTTCCTCATTGATCCGCTGGAAATTATGTTTTTATTTAGCATTTCTTTGTAATCAAGTAATCTAAACTCCTTCTAGAAGATTAGGGTTTAGTTATTTAAGGAAATCATGTAATTATCAAATGTTTATGAATGAAATGATTCCCTAATCTATCTTTTCTTACTAAAAACATTTGCTTGCTGTCTTTTACCTTCTGATTCTTCCGTTGCTCCCCAATTCTGTTCTTTTTTCCTCTAAAATTTGAAATTAATCTTTTAGCTTTTGATTTATCAGTTGCTTTATTTCCTTTTTAGTGAAAGAATCTTATTTTGAATTGATTATAACGTGACAGTAATCATAAAGTGAACTTCTCTAAGAATTCAGTGGGTTACATTTAGTCCCTCACTTTTTTCTTGACACATAAGGTAGTCAACCACCTCAAAGGCTCAAATCCCATTCAAGTTAATTTCCACGCCGTTTCGGCAATTTCTGGAATAACAAAAGCCTTCTAAAAAAAATTCTACTTAAGGAACTCGGAATTCAACTATAGAGGCTAAGGAGGAGGGGATCAAAGATTGCAGAGTAAGAATTTTCTTAAATTATACTTTCGGTGTCCAAAACCTCCAACTATGAGACCCAAACTTCTTTACCATTTGAATCAACAAGCTTTTGTGCTCGAAGTCAAAGAGATTATTTAAATAAACTAAATAGTACATATTAAATTTTAGATTTTATTTACTTTCTTCCCTCACTAAAGTATTGAACTCTTCTTTGAGGCAAATAATATTAAGATCCTAGGTACACCTTGTACCTAGGCAGTGCGTGAATCACACACAAGGGAAAAAAAATTAGAATTTTTGAGCCCGGGTAAAAAGAGTCCACACGCGCATTTAATCACCCAATTTTATCCCTTTTTTTTAGCATTTAATCCCCTAATCTTATCCTTTTTTTTGCCATTTAACTCCCTAATCTTATCCCTTTTTTTGGCACCCGATCAATTTTAAATTTTTTTTATTTGCTTATCATGTTAGCTTTTATATTATTTTATTTTATGAGATAATTTTTTATAACGATGGATTTAATTTTAGTAAACTTTACTATAGTTTAATCATTGAGACTTAGGAATATGGAGAATCAGTGTGTATTTTCTCAATAATGAATAACTAACGTTTAGACAATGAATAATGTTATGCAATTATTGAAAGATGAATGATGTAGAATGTATTCTTTTTATTGGTGAATATACATGCGTAAGGTAATGCGTAATATATGGTTACTGATGAACAAGAATTTCATTGTTATTTTTTGGCAGATGGTGTATCATCTTGTTAAGATTTTACGATGAGTATCTTATTTTAAGTAGTGAATAACAAGTTGTTATTGATGAATAACAGATGATGTGCTTATTGGACGATACTTCAACTATGAGGAATGAATAACAAGTTGTTATTGATGAATAACAATGCAAACCTGATGAATAATGATCTCATCCTAAATAAATAACAATATTACAATGAAGAATAGTTGTAGTTTTACAAGATGAATAATCATACTTTAATGAATAAATAATATACGTTACTAAATGAAGAACTTTGATAACAAGAGTATATATTACAATGGGATAATGTAAATAACTAAACTAACAAACTTCTATTTATGGGTTATACTTGACAAAAAATGAACAAAAAAACTAGTCAGTATTTTTAAGATATAAGGTCTTGAAAGATTCGTCGATGTTCGATTCGTTTATATTGATTGATTGATTTTAACAACTCTGATAAAAATATTTTATTCCCGACCAATCGACTTCATCTTGATGAGCATTTCTTTGCTGCTAATCAAACAAGAACATTATAATAAATGAGATTTGACATTCAATCAAAACTCTGTTAATCATCAATAACAATGCTATTGAAGACGAAAAATCATTTTGAAAATGATGAATAAGCATTAACATAACATAAATCCAATCCAGTTAATAGTAATCGTGCACATGTGTATATTAAATGATGAATAACAACATCATTGGTGATGAATGACAAATCTTTGCATGATGAATACACGTATCTATAGAATGAATAACACATGTTCACATGATGAATAACATATATTAACAGGATGAATATCACAATTCTACAGGATTATTGACACATTTACAATCGTACACAGAATAAAAACCCTTTAGTGATGAATAACTGCTAATGAATTAATGAATAATTATACATAGATAATGAATAAAATTGGAGACAATGAATAACAACCCTTTACTGATGAATAAATACGTCCATCTAATGAATATAACAACGGCAATGAATAAATAAGTCGATCTAATGAATATCTGATGATGAATAATATATTTGTCGATGATGCAAACATAAAAAAAACATCAACAAATATCTGATGAATCATGTTGTCGCTATGATGAATATTGACTACATGATGATGAATAATATCAGTATGTAGAAACAATTTATCGAAGTAACCATAAAAAAGATTAAAAATTCTAAAACATTGATGAAGTATTATCGAAAACTGATGAACAATGCATAGATCTCTTTATCTTTTACAAAATGAACATCATTTTAATGAACAAAATTGATGACTTGATGAACTAACATCAGTAGTCGAGAGATTAGTCTTAAATTTACATAACCCAAATATACGGCTGACCACAAATATATGATGAATAATGTTATCGATTTGATGATTAATGATACCTAAATGAGAAATACTGTCAGATCTACTGACAATTTATCAAATCAACTATAAAAGGATGAACAAGACTAAAAAATAATAAAGAAACATTATATAGATGATGAATAATGATAGAAAACTGGTGAACAATTCCTAAATCTATTAATCTTTTCCCAAATCAAACCACATTTCGTTGAACAAAACTATTAAATTGATGAACCAACATCAATAATCGAGCGAATAATCTTAGATCTACATAACCCATTTTAATAAAAAAAAAAATCATTTGTTTAAGAGACCAGTAGTTTTACCTCATAAATGGATCAGAATCCGAATCATAATAAATGATCGTTGATTTCTGCATAAAAGTTTTGAATCAAATATTAATATTTAAACATCAAATATGAAAAAATCAAGAAAAAATGATGAATACACGATGAATTTAACCGTAATTTACCCGAATTTTCATCGTCTGCCAACCAGAAACCATTGGTTTAATGCAAAATATGAGTTCTTTATCGAAAGAACCGCCGTCGGAGCTTTTTGTTTTTGTATTGCCGGAGGTCTGAATTTTTTGTGTCTTTTGGATGTTTTGCTTTGAGACGGAATGGATTGAAATGAATAAGAAGATGGATTGTGATAGAAAGTTGGATAGATATGATTAATGATGGCTGGAAATTATGAAAGATATTAGAAAATTAAAAATTAAAATTTTTTTTTTTTACTTCTTTTGAGCGCGTGAAATACCATAAGTGTACATAGGATCCCTATATTATAATTGATTATTTGAAAGGTACGCATAAATTCTTGGCCCCATTAATATCTTTTGGAGTTTGGTGACCTAAAAATGCGAGATTGTTTGTTCAATGATTGTTATACAATGATAAAGTTTTTATAGCGTTTGTTGGAAAGAAAAAAAAAAAAAAAACATTCAAAGAATAAAATATCAGAATCAGATCCATTCGCAAATCTAAAAAATGAGGCTACCCCAGTAGAGAACCGTATTTGCAACCAACCCACCCACCTTTACTTCCTCTGCGTCTAAGGTAGCATTGCATTCCAATGTGCTCAAATGTTGAATCTTTGAGTCCTTAGATTTTCTTTGCATAAGAATAGCCAAACATAAATGATTAATTTCCCAACCTTTCTGTAGTACATGAGAGGATATTCAGTACAGTTGTCGTACCACGTAAGATTATGCAGTCACACACAATTAATAGGGTAAAATAGTAATTTTGGAGGAACGGTAATAATTTTTACAGGAATTTAACAACAAAATAGAGGGTTATAATACTTGTTATACTAAAATAAGGATACAACTGCTGTATAAAATATTTTTTCGTACTACAGTACATCTAAGGTTTATTCTCCAAAAAAAAAAAAGTGTCAGAAAGGCTACTGGCCACAGATTGCCAATTGAAAACACGGGTTACATGGTATTTTAATGGCAAATTTTCTGATATATTAATTAAGACTACAAAGTTGAACTCATTTATTTTCCAAATTAAAAATGATGTACTAATGTACGAAAGTAGTAAATATTTACAGGACAAAGTTTTCAGATTTCTCTTTTCCCCAAAAAGATAAATTAAAATAAATTAAAACTCTTATGTTATATATATATATATATATATATAAGACTGACATTACTTATGTGGAATCCGACGTGGAACTTCCCCACTCGCCCCTCCGCAGAAACATTTCTCGCTTCAATCCTCATTGGTACTAACTCCCTCCGCCAGGATGCCGCCGGCGTGCGACGGGGAAGTCGCCGTTCCTTCCTCCACCGCCTCCGCCGGAGCTTCTTCAACGGACGGTAAATGCTCCTGCGCTTCGTCCGAGGAGACCTGCACGAATTGCAGAAGGAGATCATCTTCCTCCGGCCTTCCCTCGTCCTCCTCCTCGTGTTCTTTGTTGAGCTTGGAATCGTATCCAGTTCAAGACTATGACAAGCTATGGAGAGTCTTCACTGCTTCCGTCAAAGGTTTTACAATCGGCGCTGGCCTCAAAGGCGGCCTCGCTCTTTTCGCCATCCTCGCACGTCTTCGTCGCCGTCGATCCTTACCATCGGCTCGGTAATTAGTTCCTAACTTTGAATCATTACCTAAATTTGCAGAATTCATATTGTTTCTCAATCTAATTACATGATTAAATGTATCTTTATCCACATACAGTGCAAACACTGGGCAAGTTTTACAATCTTTTGGTTTTGTATCTTTACTTATCTGATTTTGCTTATTGATAATGTTCTAGGAAGACGGAAATGGTTTCTGGTAGTGATGATGTGATTTTGGCGCTGAAAGAGACGTTACGATATGGATTATTTCTTGGAACTTTTGCCGGTACATTTGTGTCAGTGGACGAGATTGTTGCTGGTTTGGGCGGTCACAGAAGGCATGATTTCTCTTCCTTTGTTTTGAATCTTCTTGAAATGAGAATTTATGATATGATGATATATTGTTTAACATGTTAATTCATTTTGAAGTGGATGAACTCATATACTGTTCTGTTTCTAAACTTTATCGAAAAACCTTTTCATGGGATTCTTTTCATCCTGTTTCGTCTTTTGGGATATGGATCGAGTTAGTCGCTTCATGTAGTACAGTGTGTGAAAATTACTTGCGAAACTGTCTTGGATCTGCATTTTATGAAAATTCATTTCCAAGTAAAACTTTGTAGAATGATATGGTGAGATGAACAATTCAGTGTTTCTGTATTTCAGGACAGCCAAGTGGAGGGCGCTGCTTGCTGGGGCAATAGCCGGGCCTTCAATGCTATTAACGGGAACAAATACTCAGCACACAAGTCTGGCCATTTACATTCTAATGCGCGCTGCTGTATTGGCATCACGTTGTGGTATAAAAAGCAAGCGTTTTGGGCACATTTGTAAACCTCTAACTTGGGCTCATGGAGACATTTTTCTCATGTGTCTCTCCTCCTCACAAATTCTGTGAGTTATATGCATTCATGACCTTATCATTTCTGATACTTGAATATAACACATTAAAGTTCATCAAGGATACGATTTAACCATTTGAAAGTGCTGAATAATTGTTGGAGAATGCTGTGGATTTTTGAACAATAGTGTTCTGTTCTGACTGTCAAATGGAAACTGTATTTTCTATTCTTTTTCCTTATTATTTTTAGTGCATTATCATGGAAATTTTTGAAGTTCCCCCCGCCCCCATTGTATCGAGCCAAGGAATGTTTATGTTATGTTTTAAAAAAAGAAATGATATTAGCATCTATAGTTATCCTGTAGCTGAATTATAGAAAGAAATGCTCCTTGAGGATTTCCTGAGGTAAAAGAAATGTTCCTTGCAGGTCTGCTTACATACTTAAGCCAGAGAGTCTGCCACAATCTTATAAGTCCTTTCTCTATAAACATGGGGCAAAGGATGCTCGAATCTTGCAAGGAGTAAGAGACATTGCTTGTGGCTTCCCTTTTACGAATCTGGATGACATAGAAAAGTATTACAAATCCACTGGTGTTGATGTAAAATTGGATCCCCGTATGAAAGTCCCTTGCTCGGTATGTAATTCGAATCAAACTGAAATACTAGTTCATGAAAATATTAACTTTTTATTTCTTTTTTTTTTTGTTTTTAACTTGAATGTGAGTGATTCATAAATGCAAGGAATTTTTTTTTTTGGTTTTCAGAGCATGAAATTTTGGGGTTTGATGTCTAAAGATAGTGTTGAGAAATGAATGATCGTGTCAAGATGATATTCTACTTTGAAATTTGTGCAGATAATACATGGTAACCAAGCATGTGAAGCACATTTTCTTTCATTCCTTGTGCAAGCCTATAAAAGAGCATTGCCAGTTTATCTTCCAGTTTATCTAATTCCTGCACTTATAGTACATCGCCAGGGGCTCTTGAAAAGGTACTTGATTTATAACTGCCATCGCTGCTGAAAGTTTATTCTCTCAAGCTTTATTTACTTACTACGACATGCACTGGCATTTTGCAGCCCGTTCTCAATTTTGGCAAAAGGTCTGCTTGGTACTGCCCGGTCCAGCTTGTTCCTGTCAACATACTGTGCTTCTGCTTGGTAAGCATAAATTGAGCGGCGTAGCATCTGAATCTTCCTTCTAAAGCTAGTAATCACGTTAAATGTATTTATCTGGGTAGAAGACATGTTTACTTGGTTTAAAGTTTCATTATCTGGTCTAGATTGGATTAGGATCACAAACCCAAGCATTGGGATGGATGATTTCATTAGCTGGTTTACACTGGACAGCTATACTTGTCTTCTTTGACTATTAGATTCAAAGATGGGATCTGCCCAAGTTATTAAGAGGGGAAATGATTTCAATAATTTAATCACAATCATGGATGTTATATTGCACATCTCAACCTGCTTGAAAGCAATTGTTTAGTAGTTATAGTTCATAATGGTTTTGACATGCGATACTGATCCATATATTCCAGACCAGCCTTACATAGTGGGCAGCTTTTTCCGATTTACACTAAAAAGTATTTGTTGCAAGAAGCATACTGCCTCCTAAATTGACCTATTGGAACTCTGTTGTATCTTTCTCTGCATCAGCACAGCTTAGGTTAGGCTGATAGTGGTAAGAATATATAACTGAAATTATTTTCTTTTTGTCAGGATGTGGACATGCTTTCTTTTTCGGCTTTTCAAGAGATGCAATGTACCAATGGTGGCCCTGGGGACGGTATGGCCACTATCTTCTCCTGTTCCTTTTTTTAGGTTTTCTTGTCTCTATTCATGACTCTTATGGTGATCTTTGGCAGTTTCCTACTGGTCTAGCTTTGGCCATTGAGAAAAAGAGTAGGCGAATAGAGATATCCCTATATTGCATGGCACGAGCCATCGAAAGTTTCTTCACTTGTATGGCTGATGTTGGGTATTTGCCTCGGGCAATGAATTTGAAGAGAGCTGATGTTGTCGTTTTCAGCATCTCAACAGCAATAATCATGCACTGCTATGCTGTCGAGAGGGATGTATTTCGATCAAAGTATCGAAACGTTCTTGATTGGGTGTTTGGTGTGCCTCTCCCTCCATACGATACCACTCCTCGCAAGAAGAGATGACTACTGGAGCGACACCTTGCAATCTTTCAATGTGTTTCTTTCATTTTGAACCAGAGGTTGGCCAGGATGAGAGCTGTATACCATTTTTCATACAGTTGGTTTTCTTCATGTTTGGGATTGCTGTAATTGCAAGCTTGGTCGATCATAAATTATATTCACCAAAAAGCACTGTTATGGTGATGCTCGGTGATGTAACCATCTCATACATAGGTGTAGATTTTTGACATTTCAGCCTGCTGATACTATGTAGCAAGTTGAACAAAGGTAGTATGTTTTTCAGGCTCTTTTCATTCTCTGCAGCCTGATGATAGATCATTTTGCTTCACTTCTTCCGTTGATGCCCATTTCTGACTTAATTGTATTAGACCCCCATTCAGAATTCTTGGTTAAAAAAACTGCATTCACTTGGTGCAGAGTTGAGAGTTCAGACATCTCAGGCGTCACTTCGATCTTTGCAGTCACTTGTATTAAGTCGATGACAAGATGTTAGCCAAATTGCTGAGTTCCTGAGATGAAAGTTTTGAGTACCATTTGCGCCTAAACTGTACAGCATTCTAATTGTGATTTTTAATCATTTCCATCACTTGTTTAGTATAAACTACCAAAATTCAAATGACAAAATCAATAGAGATGAACAAAGACTCCTAGTTGCAGAACATAAATCAGAAAACAAAGAGCAAAAACAGAAAATGCATCGGCCAAAATACTGCATCTTTAATTCCTGAAAACAGTCGCTACTTTCAACAATCAAAACATCATCCCTTGACAAGCCACTGATTCATTATATAATCCATTACAAAGCCCCATAAACCCTAATCCCCAAAATCCCACCCCCCACCAAATCCATAGAAAAAAAAAATTCAGACTTCATCCTCGTGGAGGAGCATGTTTGGGATCCCTTTGTTGACAGGAAATTTCCGGCCAGTTTCCGGGCAGACCAAAGCACCCTCTTCAAGATGAAGCTCAAGGAGGGCATGATTCAGCTTGCGGAGGAAATCCTCGGATTCCAACATGGAGGGTTCAGCTTGTTCAGGCAAATCAGCGTAGCCCATGGTTTTGGAAGCCTCAACGAGGACTTTGTAATCAAGCTTGGCGAACATGTTCTTGAGGAACTCCGGGTTCAAGTCCACATGTTTCTCCACCACTTGGCCCACTTCGATCTTCAGCGGGAATCCGTTCGCGACTCCTTTGATGTTCGATGCGAGCATGTTGTGTGTCAATAGCCTCATTTTTGTGCCCCCTTCGAAAGTTTCTCGTCGGAAATCTGTTCCTTTTCTCTGGATTTTTGTTTGGAGAGAAGCTAACTAAGGAGGAGGCCGGCGAGGAGTGTTGGCGGCTGTTTTTGTAGTAGCGCAGGGGAAGTTGGGGAGGTTTTATAGAGTAATTGTAATTTGGTCCTTATGTTTCCTTTTCTTTTCAAATAGCAAATTAAATTTTTAATACTCTCTCTGTCTCCAAACAAAGTAAGCTAGAATTCGATGCATATTATTTTCCTGGAGCCGAGGGAGTGTTTCATTTTATTCTCTCTTCTTTTTTTTTTGTTGAAATTTTACTTTATTTAACACTAAATTGAATTTATTTGATGGTTTAATTCAATTATTGTCTATCTTAATTTCACTATAAAAAAATTGATTTTCCAAAAGAAGCATGATAGCTTCAAATATTTCAAAAGTAACAAGTAAAATCCCGATGTGAAATGGTGTAGTTGAATCGATCGATCGATGTAAGTCATGCAAAAATACGATTGTAACACACTTTAAAATCTAATATGTTACAGAAGAGATTTCTGTAACATGGATATTATACACGAGAGAATTGTCACATACTACACATTAAACTCAGATTCTATCCTGTCACAAAAAATTCTATTGAACAATCATTACAGGACAGGAGTACACAAAAAGATACACAACATTAATCAACCTGCTGGTTGCAATTCAGCTGGACACGTACATCCACCATCTGTAAAATGAATATCCATAAACGATTGTGTAAATCCCCAGTCTTATAGGATAGAACCTAAACCTGCATTGACACATAATGAAATACTTTCACAAAAATCAGTATCTAACAAAAATCAATCTTATTGCTAGAGCATACATTCACACTTGCGCCAATTAGGGTAACGGCTACAATTCAATTGCTTTGACAATAAGGGCCGCCGAAGCCTTTACCTCCATATCTAACACAAATCAAACAGAAGCAATTTTACCTGTTGGAGGAAGTAGATTGGTTGGGAGGTGATCTGAGGTGATGAGGACCCACAGCAAGTGGGGTGCACCACTGGGAAACACTCCGATCAAAGAACTCCCAATCCGGCAGAATCACGCCTCCGATCGCAAACATCCCAAAGATATAAGTGGCCACCACTTTCTTGAAAGATTGGGTCCAAATTCCCACAATCACCAGAACTACTGCCAAACAAGCCAGTGATGATCGGAAAGCCGCATCATTTACCATTTTTTTTTTTCTCCTTCTTAGTGTAAATGCTTAGGGGGGAAAATGAAAAGCTAGATCGAAAGATTGGGAAGGAAAGAAGGAGAGAATGAGGGATGAGGTTTGCGATAATTTTAATGGAGTGTTTATTGAGGTGGTTGAAGTTGGAGACCAGGAGATGAGATTTGCATTTATTGACTGATTGACGAGATTTCTCTATCAATTTGGATGATTTAATGTAGTAGCGTTGGTTGGGGGCTTCTGTCACACGAGATTTGCTTAAATTTACATTTCACCTTCATTTTTTTCCTTTGGGGGTTTCTCTCCATATTACTGTCAATCAAATAATTGTGTTGTAATCGTATTATTTTGATTACGAAATCTTTTCGAACAAAAATGATTGTGTTGTGATTTTTACTTGACTTCAGACTAACTATTATGATTTTGTATATATAACGAGTTTTGTTTCAGATATGAAAATACTTTTTTCAATATGGTGACATTATTTTGTAGAAAGAAGACTGAAGAGTACCCAACATCACCACCGTACCAAAACACACCATGGCCTCCCGCCGTCTGTCTGTCGGTGATTATCCGGCTGGTACCGGGCAACTCTGCTGGAAATTGGCCGGGAATAGCTTACTCAGCAGTCAGGAAAGCGCTTACATGTTTGTTTGTTTGTTTTATTTATGAGCTTTCCGATTATTTTTTAATAACTATTCCATCCTAGCATGTTTTTTTACATCTCCAACACTCCTTTTTACATTCAAAAAAAAAAAAAAACACATACAAACAACACTATAAAAAAAAAACAATCCAAAGTCCAAACAGACCCTTATGGTCTTATATAATCAGAGAGACATTTGATGTGGACGATAAGTTTTACCTCCATAAATCCTTTTTCAGAAGAAAGCAAATTAACCACAGTAAATAGTTAGTCGCAAAATTAACTACTCCTACAATTCAGAGCGCGAGTCAACTTTACAGTTTTCCACAGTGAAGACTCCGAATCTTCTACGGTTCCGCTTTGTACGAGGTTTAGAATTCCAGGAAATCCTACTTCCCGCCGGAGTTGTTCGTGAGTGGCTGAAGTATAAATAAGGGCTTACAAAACAAAACTACCACTACAAAAAAATTCCTCTTCTGACTCCTCCATCATCACCATTCATCGCCACTCTGTTTCTTTCTTCTCCATCTTTTCGTTGCTGAGTTTAATTCTCATCAAACGAAAGATGTTTCGAAAAACTAAGTCCAAAAAAAGCGACGCCGCCGCCGCCGGCGCAGCAGCACCCACCCCCAAACCCGCCGCCGCCTCCACCACCGTCGGACATTGGCGCCCTGTTCCCGTTAACCCAGTTGAGAACCTCTTCAATTCATACGCCAATAAATCAACCAAAGAAATTGACCCAGAAGGGATTGAATCCCTTTGCTCCGATTTAAAGATAAATCACACGGACGTTCGTATCTTGATCCTTGCCTGGAAGATGCAAGCAAAAAGACAGGGTTTTTTTACCCTGCAAGAATGGAAAACAGGGATGAGTTCTCTGCACTCAGAGACTCTGCCAAATCTGAATTCAGCCCTAACCCAACTCGAAAAAGACATCAGAAAATTGTCTTCTTCGTCGGATTTCGTCGATTTCTACACATTCTCGTTCAATTATTGTATATCGGAGGAGCGACAGAAAGGGGTTGATGTTGAGAGCGTTTGTTTGCTTCTGCAGTTGATCTTAGGCGGTGGAGGAGACAAGATTGTTGGGAAACAGAAGTCGTGGGTTGAGTATTTGGTTCGGTTTCTTAAGGAACAGACTGATACAAAAGTCATTACTTTGGATCAATGGATGGGGTTCTATCGGTTCTGCAACGAGATTAGCTTCCCGGATATGAAAAATTATGATGCCGCTGATGCTTGGCCGTGGATTCTTGATGATTTTGTTGATTGGATGGGTCAGAATTTTCGTAGTTAAGCTTTAATTAGGATCATGAGCTGATGATCGATCAGTTAGCAGGTTGCTTGATAACAAATTTTCACCAAATTATTACTATATGCATTGTCTCTTTTTCTTTGGTTGGGTAATGTCAATTTGATTCTTATGCAATCGTCGTTATGGCCAGATTACATGTACTTTTTTCTGTTGGGATGGATCATTGGAAGGCAATTGAGGATAAAGTTTGATAGCTCTAACTTTATCACATGGGGTACATAGAGGAGATTTAACTATATTGCAGAGTAAATCACTTAATAATATCATGTCGTAACCACGTATCCAAATTCTTTATGTGTTACAATTGACTTACTATATGGTTATCAACTCTTGAATATCGCTTATTACCTTTTGACTGCAAACACTCACAACTATCACAATTAAGTGCTGCACTGTTGAGATTGCAGAGCTAAACTAATTCTAGTTCCATATATGGTGTTTTCCCCGCTTGCATTATGAGAAGTTGGATTGGGCAATTCGAATGAAACTAGCGTCAAAATAACACCCACATCAATAACCAAAGGGAAATGCATTGCTGAAAATCCATTAACTCTATCATAATGGGGATCAGAGACAACTTTGATCATGTGTTTTAAAGACGTGTGTCCGTAGGCTATATAAGTTTATTCATTCTAAGTTCTAAAACAGTTTTTGGTATCAATCTTAAAGTTCAATATGGACTGTTTTTTTATTTTATGAGTTGTATATTTCTCGTGATCTAGTGACAGAATGTAGTCCATGTCAGAGTCTTGACAATTCTACTATGTCAATGGCTCTTGGGGAAGTATTATATTAAATTGTTGCTAATGAACTGCCGATAGGCCTCTCTAGTGGTGGCCTCAGGCGATGTGTGAGACTGGAAACCTATGAAAGATACGATTAAGTGATAACTCGACTAATTAATTTGTTATCTGAACGTACGTACAATTTTACACATACACACATTCTTTAATTGGAGTATCTCTACCATGCATATGAACCATCATTGTCATGGTGATGTGATTATTTCCAAGTGGGAGTTAAGCCAACAAAAAGATGCGGTGGTTGATGGCTTTTGATACAATACTTGCTAGCTTACAAGAAAGATTGATCATGACTTTATCAGTTTCCAATCTTCACGAGTCAAAATATATTAATAGACCGTTGTAATTAATGTTTTCCGTTTCAAGGGTTGAGAAAAAACACAGAGTTTGGTAGGAATTTCGTCTCATAAGCAAAGGATCCAGGTTACAGACAAATTTCTGCTATTAATCTTTCATCTACCATGGGCATTCTTTGGAGGGGGGGAAAAAGAATAGGTGAGGTCATCATTTTCCCGTTCTTCGAACTTCTGTCATCAAAATTCAAGTCCCTTTCAAAGGAGAAGAATTAAGTACACTAGGTGAAAAAATTTGATATTTATTAACTTCAGAACTTATAAAATTTGGGTTAAGATACAATATTTGTGAGCTAGTTTATGTGTAATATATGTATAATGGTTAGGATAAAACGATCGTTTTCTTCGATCGATCGTACTTGTGAATTCACATCATATAATCATGTTAATAACCTTGATTAAGACTTGGTGGGAGTTTTAGGGATCCGTGGATGTTGAACAATAAGCCCTTTTCAAGATTCTTGGTGTCAAATTAAGGGTAAGAGGAGTCATGATTAGGCCACCAGCTTGTAACAATTACGTATACGTACGTCGATCGACCAAGATGTTGTTATCAAATCTCATAACAACATATTTGTGATGTTTTCTCTTTTGCTTTTGTAAAATACCTTCTCCTCGATTCAGCAAAATACTTTTTTTTTACAATAAGTGTCATTTTATATTTTAATACAATATTTGCTCAAATTTTCAAAAATTACCCTCAAAAGAAATGGTATATATTAATGGTCATTATTTGATTTAATAGGGTTTATGGTTTCTTAAATCGTGTATAAATTATTTGAATTACACTTATTTTAAAATGAAAACAGTACTAATTAACTACGTAGAGGTATTTGGTGAATTAATTGCAACAACTTTAATTATCTTCTTCATCGGCAAGCGCCTTAACCAGAATGTGTATGCTGTGTTTCAACTAAGTTCCAGAAATTCTTTGACATTAGCTACGTACAGGGAAACTCACACGTATACATTTTCAGAAGTAAAAAAATGAAAAAAAAAAAAACCCCTTGATCTTACCTCAAAGTCAAAATCGTTGCTAAAAGTAGTTCGACTCGGTAGTGTAAATTCTAGTGTAAGATAAAAACTGGAGACGGCTAATATATAGTCAAACTCGAAACATCATGGCTTGTAATGTAAGAAATTCCCAAAAAGCAGTCTCCAAATTAAGGTCTCTCCACGAGAAAAATTAGTTGAAAACGTGAAATACAAGTAGCAAAGTATGATGAAATTTAACGGGATACAATACTTTATGTGTTAGTTTTGTACAAAGTCAATTACTTCGCGAACCAAAGGTCCATCTCATAGTTTTTTGACGTTGATTATTGTTACAACAAAGCAACAATACTATTCATTCATGAATGAACTACCATTTTGTAATTCTTAGTGTTAATTGCCCCCTTTATCGCCTACCATATTTGCTTCAAAGGTTCTAATAATATCAAAGTTAAAACTGACACGTACAATACACACGAGATCAATTTTTTTAAGCAGTCACTAGTCATAAAATTACATTGTTTCATTTATCGTACAATCTCCGTCCCAAAAAAAAAATAATCCACATTGAGTTTTCAAATTTGTACTAAAAATAGTGCAAAACTCAAAACTCAATGTGTATTATTTTTGTGTGACGGAGGAAGTAATTTTTTAAAAAGCAAGTTAGACAATGTGAACGACATATATAATTACATTACAGTAGTTCCTAGCTACTTGATTCATTTGCGAATTATAAAAAAGAGAAAACACACCTTAAGTTGTATCACCTCTTTTTTTGTTATACAAAGAGTGAGAATCTAGATTAACCAACTTGACCAAGATGGTTTAAAATATATATATATTACATTACAAAAAATATGATGATCCAAATTAACTTGTCTTATTTTTATTTTTTTTTTGAACAAAAAAAGAAGATACACAGACTTAACTTGTCTTCAGTTTTCTGCTTATAATTATGTTACGTACTCATCGTAACAATGTAAGTCATCGGACTTCCAGTTTATTGATTTAGTTTTGTTTCGTTAGTAGCTGCAATTTGTCTGGAAAAGAATGCAAAAAATAAATATTGTTTCTTCCAACGGAGCATTAACCGTAGAGTTGGGAAGCAGACAAATATGTCATCCAAGCTTTATTAGGTTGACCGTTGACCTATTTGTTTCAAGACCAAATTTAAGTTCAATCACCTTCCCTTTGCCAAATATACATGTACATACAAAACCTGCACGACAAGAAATTAATCACATACTACAAAATAATTAACAAAGAATCGTTGAATCTTGTCTGACAATTATTTAGCTCTATGTTTTAGCTACTATTGACTGAAAATGATACATAAAGAATAAGGAAAAAAAAACACTGAGAAATAAGATAATGATATTTAAAAAATGAAGAAAAACGTTTGAAATTGGTTAATGATCGTGATTTCATGGTGTTTTTCCCCCCTTTACCATCCACTATATCTCATTTTTCTACGTACTTAATTTTCATGTGCTCTGTTACCATGCTTTAAGACAGGAGAAAAAAATATGGTTAATATGCATTGATCCAAGTATGTATTGCTATATGCCGACCTCAAATCGTACCGATTAATAATTCATTTAATCCTATGAATTTGGGGTTTTGTTTTGTGGTCTTTAAGTTTGCGCGTTTGGTAAGAAAATATATATCTCTTGGAGCTCTAATCAATTAAAAATCTTGAGATCAAATCAAAGTGGAGTGTTTATTCGATCGTCATCACAAAAATTTGGTCTATATTATAAATATATGCATGAAAGAGTTTCTTGTAATACACTGAAACTATCCACTCCTTACGTAAGTACCATGCATTTTAGTCCCTATTTAATTAATTATCGTAATATAAAAACATCATTAGAGATTTCAGTTTAATTATATTATGCATATGAAAACAAAAGACTTTGGTGTTTACCAATACAACAAGTAAAGTGAAAAATTATTAAAAATAAACATTCATGTCCCACATTTATGCTTTATAATTAACTTTTGTTTTCCTTTCTTTTAAAATTATTTCAGAAAAATAATTAGCGAGGGTTTAACGAGCAGGCTGCATACGAAGTTCTATTCTAAACAATATGCACCATTCTTTTCAGAAATCTACTTTCGTTACTATTTAATCCTGCTTACGTAAAACTTGGCCAGTCTTATTTATATGGCGTAAATTTGAATTAAATTTAATTTAAATTTGTATCTTGTAATTAAATAGAATAAAATGGAGTGCTTATTTAATCTAGTTTAGATTTTAGCTTCAAAATCTTTTGCCCCACTATTTAAATCCGCAAGTATACTGGACCTAATGATAAGTCATCTGAAATAATTCGACGAGAGAAAATGCCAATACTTGAATTCTAAGTGCACAAAATCAAAGGCCATTATAATTGAGAAATGAAAAAGTATAACTATGGAATAATTAACACGGGACAGCTCTTGTGCCTTTATAATTAATGAGCTTGGGATTTGGGGATGAGATTGGTTATTATGGAGGTTGATGAGCAGAGACCTCCCTTGAGGCAAGTTCAATGACAATAGAAAATTGATCAGTTGATACATATTTACAATATAAGTGAACTTTACATTAGAGTTTTTGACTTCGTTAACACCAACAATTGTAATGGTATTAATTTTCACAATTTGGGGATCTTCTGATGATTTTAGATCAATTTGGTATTAGCGAGTCATGATGTAATAAGGTATCATACCAAGAATTGTTGTTGTTTGATTTTAGTAGATTTTAAGCCTTATTCATTTACCAAACCCTAAATGAACAGATTTCAATCAATTAAGTGGAAATGATCAGTAAAGCACTTCATTGTTTTCAGTTAGTTAATGTAAATGGGGAAACTGATTGAGACTGTAAATCATTTGCTTTTAGCTAGACGCAAGTTGATACTGACTTAACAACATTAATTGATAGCTGACAGTAGAATATCATTAATATAAAAAGTCCAAAGTTGTACACAATTTGTTCGAATTTAATGAATTTTTTGTTTGATCAAAAAGTTGCCCCCCTCCCCTTTTTTTTTTAAGCCTTAAATCACTTGGGCCCTGACCCTTCTGATTTGGTCTCCTCTATACTTGATTCATGAGGCTGTATGAAATTCATTCAATAAAACGACAGATGTGTTATGAATACGAAGTGATTGATAATATAAATTGAGACAGAAATTCATTTCTTTTTAATTTTCAAAATGATTGTTTAACTTTAAATTTTATGTTGTTTTATAAGGGAAAGATGTGCATCGGAGATACAATCGAGATGCATGGAATTGCATCAGCAGATGATACATCACCATATCTACCCTGATCTAATTTTACTCAGAATTCAGAAATCTTCAACAACTGATTCACGACATACATGAAACAGGTTTATGATAAATACCTTATTTTGGAAGTTAATTATAATAACAAAATTCGACTATTATTAAAAATAGGTGTACTTATATTAGGCTTATTATTTTTTTTCATTGCGTTTTGTCAGGTATCAATTTCACAAAAATCGTTTTCAGCTATTTGTTAATTACTACTAGTTATAAAACAATTTGAACAATTTGTGCCTTCCCAAGAAAAAGTTATACTATAACTTTTTGTAGCTTAATTGGCTTTAAATTAAATGGAGCAACTATCACTTATGCACATACATACTCTAAACTTAAATAATTTTAGAAATAAAATAAAATTCCAAAAAAAGCTACCACATTATCACTAATCAAACTTGTATAAATACTAACCCCATCTAACTTTGGCCAACAGCAGAGAAGAAATCTTCCCCACAAGAAAGATAGAAAGAAAAAATGGGAAGGTCTCCCTGCTGTGATGAGAATGGCCTCAAGAAAGGTCCATGGACTCCTGAAGAAGATCAGAAACTCATTGATTACATCCAGAAACATGGCCATGGCAGCTGGAGAGCCCTTCCCAAACTTGCAGGTACGTACATATATGGAATTAATTCCGATACATGCACTACATATGTTGAAATTATAATCACGAGATTTTGAGTTTGAATATGACGTTATACATAACATGACGTTGATCTTCTTCTTTCTTTGTACAGGTCTAAATAGATGTGGCAAAAGTTGTAGGCTAAGATGGACAAATTACTTGAGGCCTGACATTAAGAGAGGAAAATTCAGCCAAGAGGAAGAACAATCAATCCTTCATCTCCATTCCATCCTAGGGAACAAGTGAGAATATTACTATCCTTTAATAACTATGTCTCAAAATAAGAGTTCTGTTCATTGTATTAAAACTGTTTAGTAAATAGGATTCTTATTTTGTGTGACGGATGTGGGGTATTATTCTTCATACAACGAGTTGATTGATATTGTGGGTTTTTGTTATGATAGGTGGTCAGCCATTGCACAACATCTTCCAGGGCGCACAGATAATGAAATCAAGAACTTTTGGAACACACATTTGAAGAAGAAGCTAATCCAAATGGGGTATGATCCAATGACCCATAGGCCAAGAACTGACCTATTCTCAAGCTTACCAAATCTCATAGCCTTGGCTAGTTTACTAGAGCAACACCAATTGGAAGAACATGCTGCGAGGCTACAAGCAGAAGCCATTGAATTGGCTAAAATTCAATATTTGCAATGCCTTTTCCAATCAACTACCCAAACCTCATCAAACTCCCAATTGATCAACACCATGAATAATAATAATATTATTGATCATCATCATCATCATCAAGACTTTGGGACATCAAATTCCTCATTGAATTCCATTTCTTTGAGTGTGTCTGACTTTGAAAATCAAGCCACATTTCCTTTGGAAAATGCTTCCACTACTACTACTACTAATACAACTTCTCAACTGCTCCACCATCTTATTACCAGCTCCAACAATATCAATAATTCGACAGCTTCCAATAGTATTCCAAACATCCCTTTTGATTTCAACCCGACCCAATTCCTTAGTGGCCGGGAGGACGATACGCCTCCGGCCGGGAACAACCTACCTTCGGCAGCCTCTTCTACTTTGCCTCCACTTACTGATGCATCTATAAGCAACATGGGAGGGGAGGCTAGCAGCACATCTAGCAATGGGGAAGGTGCTTCTTCCAATATTTGGTCTGAACTACTGTTTGATGCTTCATTCATGAATGAGATATCCTAGCTAAGCTAGCCAAAGAAATAAAAAAACAAAAAAACAAAACGGAAGAAGGATTTTGAATGACTTCTGGTGTTTGATATTTGACCATATTGATTATTAGGGTCTTTATGATCAGCTGGTTAAACATCATACATTTTGCATACATATATGTAATGGGTTTCTAGCCAGGTACTGTAAATAGTTTTTGAGTGATATACCTTGTGATAAAGTTTCTGTGGATTTTATTTTCATCCTTTTAGGTCAAGTTTCTCTTTTGTGTAATTTGTTTTGGTAGTACATTGTGAACACTTCATTTTGTGTGCAGTATCTACTTAATACGATGTTAGTTAATATAAATTAAATTGTATTTCTTTCCTTCCAAAAAAAAAAAACCGATTTATTTATTGAACTATATATAGTATAGTTACCGTTGGCTTTTGATGAAAGCTAGTTCGATTTAGTCTCTCTATGGAGAGCTTTGGGTCTTGAATTAAAGTCATAGATGTGATGCTTTTCGATGGTACGTGATTCCATTTTCTGCCCTACATATATAAATCAATCAATTGTAGCGTGTTACGTTGAGGTTTCCATGCAAAAACTAAACTTTATTGTATATGTGGGCTTTTATTGTTATTTTTTACACAAGAGGACATAAGTTTAATTAACTAACTCATGATGGCCGCCATCACTTGAAACCAAATGTATCGAATTTTAATTATTGTATATCAATTGTATCGTTACAATTATTATTATGAACTCGATACATACTTCTTCATAAAATTTCATATATACAATTATATTTATTATTAAGCTAAAATAATAAAATAAATATGACTTATTTTTTGAAACAGAAAATATTACTCCCTCCGTCCCATAATTATTGTCCACTTTGCCCAAAAAATTTTGTCCCAAAATTATTGTCCAATTTGACTTTTTATGGATCAAGTTACACATTTGTCCTTAGTAAAAAACATTATCCATAAAATCTTAGTGGTTAAATAATTACTTATATAGGGGTATATCCGGTTGTTTAAGGTAAAATATAGTTAAATTTGACCAAAAATAAAATCTTTCATTTTAGTAAAACTGGACAATAATTATGGGACGGAGGGAGTATAATGTAAAAATCGAGACAATACTAATTAATGTAGACAACAAATTAAGAACCTCGTTGACAGTCACTTTACGTGTCGCTATTAGCTCCTATTTCACAATTTTTTTCATTGATATCACTACTACGAAAGAAGACAAAACGGATACATCAAAGTTCTGGAAAATTAAATTACTTTATGCTTAGATTACAGTATTATGCCGGCAATGACATACTAATAAACTTAGAACAACATATAAAGAGGGGGTTAGGGTTAGGTAGTTAAAAATTATTAACCTTCTTTTTCTCACAAGAAAATGAAGAAAGGAAGATAGCCAATTTCACTAATTATTCCGATAATAACACGGATATTTCCTGCCCACTTTGACAACCATAAGCTTTACTGACCAACTTTGACTTTATTCCACACTCAATATATAAGATTATTCTTATCTTTAATCAAGTAGTCTTCTTGAGTAGTTAGCCTTTTCCCCCTTTTATTTTCTTTGTAACTGTGTACTGTAATTATTAAGTACATCAAAGGAACTAGAAAATTACATAAATTAGACATTGAATAACGAATAACTTATTCGGGTTAAATGGTAACTACTCTGTTTTTCGAAATAGGTCTAGCTCGAGTTTAACAAATTTAGAGTATTATAAAGTAAAGGAAAGAAAAAAAAAATAGAGGATGTGAATTACTACATGCAATTTTAGTAATTAAATCCTGGTTTGGAATGGATCATGGAGCAATGTTAAAAATATTGACTAATCATTTTATCCATTGAGATACATACACTTCAACAAGAAAATTTAATATTGTTTTTTAAGGTAGACACCATAAGAAGAAGAAGTTGTTGTTGTTGAATGGACCATCAATTCGGAACATACTTAGAAGGGAAATTTTGCCGCAGATTTGTATGGCCAGCAAGTATAGCCAGTCTGGGCTGCGGTTACAGTGTTTATGATGTACCGCCAGCGATAATTCAACGGTGGCTAACTCATGATATCATAGGGATATCTTACCCTTAGTGTAATTGCTTGTAATTAGGCTTTTAGCCTCCTTCTTTAACACCAAAGAAAAAAAATTTGTTGTTGTTGATGGTAATTTTCGAAAATAAATGTTATTTACATGTAGAGTCCTTGCACGGCTCATGTCTATTACACAGCTAGCTAATTGCAAATAAGCCCCCTCAAGTTCAACAGTTACAAACTACTATACTAAATAATTTAGATAGATTTTTTATTTTATTACTTTTGTTGAGTAGTCAAGATATATATAGTCTAACGTGTAAGGTAGCGGAAATTAAGTAACTCGATATAAGAAAAGAAGATGAAAACACTCTATGAGAATAATCTATACCTTACGTCCTGAAATTATTGGCTAATTTGAATTTTTTATTTTTAATTCAATTTATAGTAAAACAAAAGTTCAAAATGAGCAATCATGGATACAGAGAATAATAATTTTTGTGTGGAATCAATTATGTAGCTCAGTTAGCTTAAAGAGATTCCATGAACACTTAGCAAATTTATCCAGCCGAAAACTTTTGAACACTTCGAACCAAAAAGATTGAGGCAAAGGATAGCCTAATTAATTACACATACAGGTCCAAGAATTGTGACTATGAAAAATTTTTGGTCCCTCAGTTCTTTTGACATTTAAACCATTTTTATTTTCTTTGGAAAAAAAAAACTGAAAAGATAACGAGATTACTTTTTGAAAAAGAATATAATAATCTTTTGCGTCGAATTTAGTTCGGAGGGAATCTATGATTGCTTCGCAAACCTTTTAAGGGTCTGTTTGATAATCACTGAAGTCTGAATCTGAACATTTAACACTTAACACTGAAGTCTGAAGTCTGAAAACTGAATTTACATTATTTGATAAAAACATCTGAATATGATGTCTGAAAACTGAAGTCTGAAGTCTGAAGGCTGAATCTGAATACTCATGTCTGAAGTTATTTAAAATTTTAATATCATTAAATTGAATTATAAACAAAATTCCTTTAAATAGAAAAATAACTAATATTTTGTTCTAAATAATAAAATAATAATTTTGAAATAACTTTTTGTATATATAATGAAAGTAGATGTTACACTTGGTAAATAATCAATATATAATTAAATTTAGATTATTACATATATGTGTATACCTTGTTATTTAGTAAATTTCATGTATTAAAATTAGTTTAATTTGAATTTGAAAGTTTGAGATATTTTATACACATAATATAAATTTAAATTTAAGCACTCTTAATTAATTTATCTTAAGAAAATAAAAATTTTAAAAACAATATAAAAATAAGTGACAAAATAAAGACGAGGGGAAAAAAGGAAAAAAAAAGAAAAAAGAAAAAAAAAGAGTTACACAGAAATTAAGTGATAAGTGATAAGTGATAGGCCTATCACTTATTTTGTGGCTCACAATTGAACTGTCCATTCAGACGCACTTAATTAATTCAAACAGTGAAATTTTAGTTGTCAAACGCACTTAATTTATAAGTACTTAATTAGTTCAGAACTTAATTCGTTAAGACTTTTTAGTAGCGATTATAAAAACACTTAATTTCATTAATTACTTAAATAAATTAAGTCACTATATTTTGCTTATAGAGCTCCAAAAAATGTGATTATGAAATCTAAGGATGTGAAATCACTTTACCTTCCCAATTTTCGTCGCACCTTTTTATATTTAAAGGAAAAAAGTTTCTCAAAGAAATTATTGGCCTAAAACCCAGAAAGTACCTCCTGGATAAGAGTCATATTTACTATATTACTATTATTTTTAGTTCATCAAACATGCTTTTAATTGAGGGGAAAAAAAAGACTTTCAATTTATTTATATTTATTCTGAAGAAGATATGAAATCCATGTCTAACGCCAGTTATTAAATAAAAAAAATCTGACAATGGGCAAAGACTAGAACACATGAAGTCGCACCATTGATAGTTTGATACTTTTTGTTTTTTGACATTCAAACCTCTACATGCAGTATTCCAAAGCTTCCATTTCCTTCTCAAATCATCCTAATTGAGCTTTTCACAAATCAATCCCTTAAGAATGGATCATATGCCTACTAATTGAGAAAGTATCCCCTCCCAACCAATCGATCTCGAGTTTAATCCTAGAGAACCCTCTATCATAACTATTGAACTGGATTCAATTCTCTAAAAGAGAAAGGTCACTCAATTCTACGTCTGATTTAAAAAGATAAATATTGTTTATATTGTAAAAGAAAAAAAAAATAAAAATGACTACAATGTGACTTCAGTCTAACCATTAATTAAGGTAAATAAAATATCATAATGGAGTTTCTTTATTGAAACAAAAAAAATAAATAAAATTAAAGGAAAAGAAGAGATTGGATCCATAAGAATTGGGTGAGGATAAATGAACTCATGAACAATAGTATAGATGCTAATTGTATAAGGGAGATCAAGTTCCCCAAATGAAAAGGACCTCAAAAGGCCCACCAATTTTTGTAAAGTGGCCAACGCCAGGCATACTCAGCACACATATCTCATTTCTCTCCGGTCTTCCCCATCCCTCCCTGTCTAGTATTTTTTTTTTTAATTATTATTATTATTACAAGAACTAACTTACAAAGTGTCTATACTATTATATAGGTGGGATTTATGGAGAAGGGGAGGGTGGAATTTATGAGAAAGGGGATAATACTACTACTACGTAGGAGACTCCATGCGTGCATATCCAGTTTACTTGTCCACCCTCGAAAGCGCCTCCTTTGAATGCTGCTCTCTCTTACCTTGCAGAAAAGTATGACTAGCAATAAATCAGTGTCGTAGGAGTTCAAACCCGCGTCATCGCGGTCTAGTATCTTCAAACTTCCAACTTCTTTAAGCACCTAAACCTTCTAAAATCCTTTAAAAGCTTTTTTTTCTTAACCTTTAGAATACCATTTTAACTCCATTTTATTTGGCATGGGTGTTACAGTCACTAGGGTAAAAAATTTTGTATTCTTTGAAACATATCTCGAGTTTGTATTATGTGATAAATAAGATTTAAAGCCCTCCAAAAAAAAAATGTTAATTGAGTTGAATACTTGGGCGACAAAATGATTGTGATATGCATATATTGATATACAACGAACATTAATCTTATTAATATGAATATATATATATATATATAGTATGCAAAAAAAAAAGGGGTATTTTTTTGGTTTTTTCTTTTTCGAGAATGATCATACCAATGACTTGTTATATCAGATGCACGTGGGTTGAGTAACAAGACGAATATAGAACATGATGGAGGAAGTATAGAATTAAGCGCTCAAATCACTCTCAACTTTGGCAATAATTCAGGAAGAAAGACCAAACCAAAATTTGCCATTTGACTCTGTGTTTCTTGTGAGTGTTTTCACGTTCAGCTCTGCACCAATTTTTTGTTTCTTCAACTGCATGAAATTTTCCACCCTGACACCAAACTTGTACTCAAAAAATTTAAAATTGCAGTGCAGATTCTGTTTTTTAATTTTTTTTGGCGAGGTTCTCTAAAGAAAAATTTTGCTGTAGTAATTTTGTTTATGTTGATGGTCTTCCATGTATTTTTCTTGCCTTTATTTTTCCGAATACTTTTAGAATCTCTTTAATTGACACAACTGTAGAACAATGAACATGATTTCATTGACACCTTTATTCAATGAACCGAAAAGGAATAAAGAACAAATACCTCCCCCTAACACCTCCAATTTATTCCTCTTTCCCTATGTTGCAAGCCGGCAAATGTTTCATTCCGGTGATGTCTCTATAACCTTTTCCTAAAGAAGGTAACTTTATTTTTAAAAAACCGATATTTATAGGAACCCTTTTATAATTTTTTTGATCCCGAGGATGATATTTGAAGTTTAGGTCTTATATGAATAACGATTTTATTTTCGATAGTCCTGATAGTGTTACAAGATTAAATGAATCTCTAATTGTTGTAAAACCTTAAATAGATCATGATATTGTTAGTGTATCGTATCAACGTGCTATAATAGTCTAGAGTTCAAGGCGATGGTCTCTTTTTTTTCAAAGAATTGAAAAAAGGGATTGAATACGTAATTCAATTTTGTATAGATAACATGCCTGAACTGAGTGAGATCATATCCGGAAAGAGAGAGTGTAATACCAAGGCAATATATAACATCAAGCAATATCGGACGTATTTTCTAGGACATAAGCTATAATTTTAGGAGCCAAAAATAGATTTGTGTCTGTTGTGTAATCTGTGAGTTGGGATTTTGTTTTGTTGCATAGGATAAGGGAGAGGGGAAAAAAAAAGTTGTAAAATATTATAATAAAAAAAATCTACAAAAACCCCCCGAAAAGTTGTGGCTGCAATCTGCCTATTAGTCCTTGACAGTGGCAACCCCACTCACCTTAACCAATCACCTTCATAATTCTTTTGTCCCTCTTCTTCTTTTCCTTTGTCAAGTGTCGAAAGTTTCTTACTTGTTAAAAGAAAAAAAAACCCATTTAATTTTTAGTGTTGTTTGCAAGAATTAATGTTAAATCCTGGGAGGAAACAAGATTCACCACGTTACTAGGAGCATTAATTTCGTAGTCACACTGTGATAACAGTACACTTAAGCGACTTTTCTTTACTTAGTTGGTTTCCTTATAAAGATATAATCTTGTTTCTTATGGTCTGAAATCGAGAATAGTTTAAAAAGATAAGATTTTGATGTAAATCACCCGCAGCCCACCAAGGGAAAGTTGACATATTATGGTTTGGAGATAGGAGAGAGAGTGATTGAAAAAGTTACTTTTTTTGGGTGATTGTGTGTGTGTGTGTGTTTTTTTTTTCATTTCTGGAGATGTCTGGTGGGGGATGCAGTATTGTTTGGTTCAGAAGGGATCTGAGGGTTGAAGACAACCCTGCTTTAGCCGCCGGAGTTAGGTCCGGTGCGGTGATTGCGTTGTTTGTTTGGGCACCGGAGGAAGAGGGACATTATTATCCGGGAAGGGTATCAAGATGGTGGCTGAAACAGAGTTTGGCACATCTTGATTCTTCTTTGAGGAGCCTTGGCACTGCTCTTGTCACTAAGAGATCTACTGATACCATTTCTTCCCTCCTTGAAGTTATCAAATCCACTGGGGCTACTCAGCTGTTCTTCAATCATTTATATGGTAGGATTTGATTGTCTATTATGATTTTTTCTGTTCAGTGGCAGCAGTACTAGTATCAAGTTTCTTGTTTAATTATTGCTGAATCGCCTTTTTGTTGGAAGTCCTTAATTCAGATTAGTGGAATAAAGAACTATCTTTCAAATCAATGATTGGCCTATAATCGCTTGTTTAGTATATATAGATTATCAGAAACCCACGTGTTTAGTAAAATAATCTAGTAGTTGGAATTTTTTAGATGTTATAATGAATAGATAGATAATTGGTTGCTGCTATTAAAATAAGATATTTTGGAGTTCAAGATTTGCCAACTGTTTCTAGTCTACCTTTGCCTCTGCGTTTCTCAACTTATGATTGTCGGCTTGGACTGCCTGCTCTTACTTATTGACTGCTTTACCTTGCAAATTCAGTATGATTGAATCTAGCAAAAGCCGGCTAACTCTGTGAAATTTGATCATACCCAAATGTTATGGATGGAACCTTATTGTGTATATGAAACAAAGGTTTCCAACTGTGAAGGCTTTTTTACAGTGTTGGGTTCTTCTTTCATTAGAAAACATGATCTAATAAAATGCCTCTGCAAATGAATATGTCATGCTGCACAGTTGTAAAACTAACTGATTGTTTGCATTGTAGACCCCATGTCACTTGTTCGTGATCATCGTGCAAAGGAGGTTTTAACAGCACAAGGTGTAATTGTGCGCTCCTTCAACGCAGACCTGCTTTATGAACCTTGGGAAATCCATGATGAGGACGGTCGTCCATTTACAACTTTCGATGCTTTCTGGGAAAGATGTCTTAGCATGCCGTTTGATCCTGAGTCTCCGCTTCTTCCACCTAAAAGAATAATCTCTGGTATGTCACTCACAAATTTTAATCTCACTGTAACCATTGTGCTTCCTTCGAGTTTGAATTCTGTACGTGAGTCTCCTTGCTTTGGTTGAATCCCAGAGTACAATCTCGTTGGTTCGGTGTCTTTAGGTTATTTTTGTTTGATGCATGACATTGATCAAGGCGGTACTATTACACCATGAAAAATGGTGGAGACTCACTATTGTGGAAAAGTAATTTAATGGTTCTGTGCTGTTAGAAATCAAGGCTATTTTGTGGATTCCATTGTTTTTATGATCACCTAAAAACTTTTGATACTTCTGTTTTATCCTAGTTGAGTCAGGGGACAGTCCTCGTAGCTTTATACGACAAACTAATCTGACATCCCACTGGCTGGCGTAAAATAAAGATTGGATTGCTGCAGTTCATGATGTTTATTAATTTTTATTCTTTTTGCCATTTGTTAACTGAGCAAGGTGTCTGTCCTAGGATTTTACCACCACACCCTCATGTATGTTTGTCATTTTCGTCTGTATTTGCATGTTGCAACTGTAATCCAATGTTCAATAAAATTCCCCTTTGCAGGAGATGTATCAAAGTGCCCTTCAGATCAATTAATATTTGAAGACGAGTCAGAAAAAGGAAGCAATGCTCTCCTTGCTCGGGCATGGTCACCTGGATGGAGCAATGCTGACAAGGCCCTTACTGCTTTCATTAATGGAGCATTAATCGAGTACTCAAAGAATCGCCGTAAAGCTGATAGTGCTACTACATCATTTCTTTCTCCCCACTTACATTTCGGGGAAGTCAGTGTAAGGAAGGTTTTCCATCTTGTTCGCATCAAACAAGTTTTATGGGCTAATGAGGGTAACAGAGCTGGCGAGGAGAGTGTCAATCTGTTCCTCAAGTCTATTGGTCTCAGAGAGTATTCAAGGTACATGAGCTTCAATCATCCTTATAGCCATGAAAGGCCACTGCTTGGTCACCTAAGGTATTTCCCTTGGGTAGTTGATGAGAGTCTCTTTAAAGCATGGCGACAAGGTCGGACTGGTTATCCTTTGGTGGATGCTGGTATGAGAGAGCTATGGGCAACAGGCTGGCTACATGATCGAATACGAGTGGTAGTTTCTAGCTTTTTTGTGAAAGTTTTGCAACTTCCCTGGAGGTGGGGAATGAAATATTTCTGGGACACCCTACTTGATGCGGATCTTGAGAGTGATGCTCTCGGTTGGCAATACATCTCTGGTACTCTCCCTGATAGTCGTGAGTTTGACCGCATTGATAATCCACAGGTTCGAATAATTTCCATTATTTATTTAATTCTGCACAATGAGTTAGAATATTATTTCATTTGTTGATTCGTAAATATTAGTTCCATCACCAGTCTAACTGGTAGACATGGTAGCGACCTTCGATGACTGTGACAAATTTTGCTTAATACTTATTGGTGTTGCACTTAACACTTCATTGCCATCAGCAAGCTCTAGTTTGTTTAGCATGTGCAGCGGACTTTATCACTAGTTTTGGTTCTTTAGGGCTACTCTAAACAATCTAATTCGAGTGCAGAAAAGACACCAATATCTTTAGGCTATGAAACCCTCATATTCCTTTTGGTGACTCAGAGATATCATTTTCAAATGAAAGAGGAAAGCTTAAGTGTGCCTTGAGATAGTTCAAATGTTTCTATTATGTGTCAGAGCCTGGAAAAAATACCATACATGAAAAGAAGAGATTTTTGAAGCCGCCAATACTTTTTTAAGTAGCTTTCCTGAAGTGTTTTTGTGCTGCAATGTCAGTTGTCTTTCCTTCTATAGTACTAGGATGAGGCACAGGATTTACCTTTTCATTTTACCTTCTCTAGCTCAAGTATTTTTTTTGTCATCTAGCAAAAGTACCAGTCTTATAAACAGATTTGTTCATAAACGTAAATTTCGTTTCAGTTTGAATTCGTATTTGATTTATGAAGCTTATATGATTCTTGGGCGCTTGCATGAGAGCAGTCCATGTTATAGTTTTATTTGATATATTAAGCTTATGTGATCCTTGGATACTTAAATGAGAGCAATCTATGTTATTGTTTCATTGCTTATTGCAGTTTGAGGGATACAAGTGTGATCCTAATGGCGAATATGTTCGACGATGGCTTCCTGAGCTTGCCAGACTACCGACCGAGTGGATACATCATCCTTGGAATGCACCAGAATCTGTTCTCCAAGCTGCTGGAATTGAACTAGGTTCCAATTATCCTCTCCCAATTGTTGAAATTGATGCAGCAAAGGAAAGATTGCAAGAGGCACTGATGCAAATGTGGCAGCTTGAAGCGGCATCGAGAGCTGCAACTGAAAATGGAATGGAAGAAGGACTTGGCGACTCTGAATCAGCTCCCATTGCCTTTCCTCAGGACATGCAAGTGGAAATAGATCGTGGACCTGTTAGAACCAATCCTACCACCACAACAATTCGGCGTTATGAAGATCAGATGGTACCAAGCATAACTTCATCGTTAGTGAGAAGTGAAGCGTATGAAACTTCAATAGATCTCAGAAATTCTGCAGAAAACAGTAGAGCAGAAGTACCAAGAACTTTTAACCTAACTGAACCACCTGCTAGAGGAGCAATACACACCCCAGCCGCTCCAACAGTTGTGAGTAACAATACGTTTCCAGTAGGAAGAAGAAACTCTCTAGACTCAACTGCAGAATCTTCTAGCAGTGGTAGGGGAGGAAGGGATGGGGGCATTGTTCCAGTTTGGTCTCCTTCTAGTTCAACCTTTTCTGATCCGTTTGCTGCAGAAGATAATGGGATGGGGACCAGTACTTACTTGCAAAGGCATCCACAGTCTCATGAACTAATGAACTGGAGAGGGCTTCCTCAAACTGGGTAAGTTGTGCATGCAAGTGGTCCGTGATTTTGTTGCTACTTTTAGCTATATCCAATCACTCGTATAGATTATATAATTTGTTCAGTAGCCATGTTTTTGTAGTCTTTAACCTTTATCATTTCAAACAGTTTTGGAAACTTAACAAGTTGAAAAATTAATTTGTGCAACTCTCTTGCATTTTTTGTCTGCGTACCAAAGCAATCTTAGGTTTTGTTTATGGAATAACTCTCAGTTGCTTATGTTTAATATAGGCTGGCTTGATATTTATGTTTCCTTTTAGTATCTGGATGGCATTACTAAAATTGCTTAACTTTGCTGCTGGAGTTTGTTCTGCATCTCATTGAAGCTATTTAACTGGCTGCAAATAAGTTGTTCTCATTGGTTTAGTGATCCTGTGATCACTAACAGCATCATCATTAGTATTTACTACCTAACAATTCAGTCAATTTAACCTTTTTTCTGTGAAAGAAATGCATTTTCCAAGTATCACCTTCATTTTCCTGCTTCTTCTCTATCATCAAAGATTCAAACATTCAAGTTCTTACTCTTGATTGCCAATGCAAACAGGTGACTGTATTAGGAACACCAACTATGAATCTGCTCCCTGGCTGCTGTTCCCTCTCAGAGTAAAAAAGTAGCTTCAGGTTACTGCACCCATACTAAACGACTTTTCTTCTCTTGACACAACCAGTTGCCGATTTCTGTTCAGAGATGAGAATCCCTACATTTCCTTGGTGCTCCTGTATAGTGTATTATATTGTTGGAAACCGCATTTAAATCCTAGGATAGGGTTAATGTTGTAATGATGGTGCGATTTAGAAACTCAGAGCTCCTGGTTTTCGTTCAGTAGTAGGTTAGATGTTATAATAGCCAATAATGTTGATCTTCTTCATCTTGAACCCCTCCCCTTTTTCCCCTTCTTGTTAATTAATCTAATAACCACATGAATCAATGCGGTATCTTGATGCACGCCAGCATGATACTTGTTTGTGGAGGCGTGCATTGTTACTTATAATTTTGACAATGAGTGGTTAATGTCACATTGAATGTAATTCTGCCTGGTATCTTTGTACATACAAAATGAGACCTATAAAGTTGTGTTTCTCTTCATTCATTGATGTACCTCTGTTCCCTTTGTGATGTGAGTCCATGGACTAGGAATACATTGCTGGCTTGGAATTTAGGGCCTCTTTCCTTGAGGGCATGATGAAATGTTTGCAGGCTGTCTAATTGCAATTGGGCTTTTCTGCTATGCAATTTGCAGTCCATAATAAGTTTCCTAGAATTCTGCTTCTGGATTAGGACAATCTCGTATATTGGATGGGGAAGCTGGTAATCCACTGTCCCTGGTGGTTGCGAATGACCCCTCCGACCTCCGCAGCTCTTTTTGCGGGTGTCCCATGGCGGCGGGCTCCGATTGGAATCTTCTGTATTATTTGGTTGAATCAGTGGCTTCTTGTATAATAAACTTAAAATGTCAAAAACTATCTAGGTGGACCGGGTGAGTTTCTTTTTTTACCTTGGAGTTGGACAGTCTGTACCTATAGGCTACAGCGTTGGGCCACTGTCCGAGCCCGATCAACAACAAACACATCCAATCTTATATTGTTTCCATTTTCCAGTCTTAAAATATTTAAATTCCTCTTTCTATCCTTTGTCATTACGATATGATCAATTCTTACGAGTGATATATCGAAAGATATTGCTATCAGTGTGTCTTTTATAACAGAACCTATTCAAGTTGGGTCACATGCTTTAATCCCATATACACAAATTCGCTAGTTGAATCCTCAAAGGCTCAAACCCAAACCCTCAAATGAATACAAAAAATACTAGCAATTAACAAACACCTTTGGTTTTCAATGTGATCAACATTGTTGCTACATATGCTGCAATGAGGCGATATAGCAGTACAAATTAAAACGTTTATATCCTAGAAGCATCTTCTTTAAGAAATGACACTCCCATTGATTTCACAACTACTCCCTCCCTCACCAAGTCTTCTATGAGAGTCTAAACCTTTTTTTTTAGTGCTATTATTTTTGAGAACACTTTAACCTTGTGTATTTTAACCTGTTATGCCGAACAACTATATAATTTTCATCTTATCTTTTACGACACACATCATAATTCCTAATCTCCAACATAACTTTTTGACAAGTAATGTACGAATATTATGTGAAAAATGTTGCTGACCTTCGGAAACATTAAGGCTCTGTTTGTTTTTTTTAAGTGTGTGTTTTTAGGTATTTTTTGTATTGAGAATGTAAAAAAATGTATTGAAAATGTAAAAATATATGCTGGGATGAGACAGTTATTATTTTAATATTATGAAAAAATCATCCAAAAAACAAAACAAACAAGGCCTAAAATTCTCAACCTCAATATGTGTTTTGTATTAATGGAACAATTATGCCTTTAGTACTAAACTACTAATCAATATATATATAAACTAAACCAAATATCTTGAAACATTTCATGTTCTTTCACCAGCATTACAGAAACATTTCCAAAGTTTTTTTATTTTTATTTTTATGACACTTTAACCTCGCGAATTCAAGCCCACCTACTCAAGGAAAAAAATTCGTAGTTTTTCTTCTTTTTCATATTGGCATACTCTATGAACCTTAGAACCACGAAGACCTTTCGCATCAGACCTCTAACAAGCTCTTGACCAAATGAGTTGAATTCTTTTCATGACTTCAAGAGGGTTAGGCGGGAGGTGATTCCGAATTTTAGTACGTGAAAATTTTCGATCTCGAGGGACTTATTTTTCACGATGAAACAATTATACCATTCATGTTGAATTAACACTCTTTACAATTCTTAAGGTATTTTGATTTGTCTTAGGTTTCACTTATTATATTTTTTTATTTGAGAAAAAAAAACATTAAAATTATATTTTCATATTCATTGTATTCCCATAATTAGTAAGAAATATTTTTAAGATTTTTCTTTCAATTAGAAAAACATACTAAGTGAAACATATGATAAATCAAAATGTCTTACAATAAGGACTGGATGGAGTATCATTGTTTTTAAACTTACGTATATCAAACCGAATATCTTTTAAAACACTGTAAACCGTTTCAATTTTCACCAACACATTACGAAATATTACCGGAATTTTTTATTTTTAAGAACGCTTTATCCTCGTGTATTTCGACAATTTGACGCCATCGTCCACCGCTTTGAACACCGGAAAACAAGGAGAGTTATCACGTGAATGAGCCCTTCGCATGATGTAATGATCGATCGTTTTGCCTCTTCCTTTCGATTTTTACATGTGTTTGTTCGTTCCTTTCCTTTTGCCGCGTGTTCGAAAATATAACAAAATAACGCATTGTCTTACGTTACGAACCCACGCCTTTCGACCGCTATTCCCAATTTTCAGTGTCTTAGAATAATGAAGAAGAAATTATCTTACATTATTAAAATGAAATTATATTGTTTAAAGGTTAAATTAATATGTCGATAAAACAGAAAATTCAAAATGAAATCTGATCACAATTTCATCTATGTAGTATTATTAAAGTTTGGAATTTGAAAATAAGTTGGAACTTGAATTTTTTCAAAATATGAAGCTTTAATTTTTGGCTCCAACTCTAAATATTGATTTAAAATGAAATTAACTTTAAACAAAAAAAAACAAAAAATTCGCCTTCTTTAATCGGTTAAAAAAAACTACTATCACCTAAACACATACTCGGAATTATTTATTTACTCAAAGTAGTGATAGAGTTAGTGAAACTATCTAGTACTAAAATAGTGATACATGTACCATTTTCAAAATTACCCAAAAAAAAGAAGTATATATAAATTAATAAGAGTGGTAAATTTATTTATATTTTCATAGTTTTTCAACTGATTTCATCGTATAGTTTCACATCATCTATATCATTTTCTTTTTTCTATTTTTTTTTTTTTTACAAAAAAAAGAGGTAAACTCCTATACTACCACCCATCAAGGGTATGAAACTCCCATAACATCATGTTCAATCATGGTTTAACATCCGATGGCGGACAATCAAAACGTTGTAGACCTCCTGGACCTTGAACCGCTAACGAAACCATATAGTTTGCTGCAAAATTGGCTTCCCGGTATATCTATATCATTTTCTTTATGTTTGGGAGATTTTATTTTACAGCGAATATTGAGGTGTTTATCGGGGAGCAGCACATATCAATAGAACAAAAAAGATAAGAGTGAGTAATAATTAGAGTGGTGATTGTGCTTTATGGCTTGTGGTTATCTCTAATTAATTGAAGCTAGTTGCCTTTTAAGTAATCATTTCAAACATTATGTCAATGACATGAAGTTATAATAATGCCACTAACATGTTGACCTTCTAATCACAATAATTAGATTGTAATCATTGGCTTCCATAAGGAATTAATCTCCTCCTTAATTATCCCCCAAAAAAAAAAAAACAATGAATTATTCCAACCTTTTCTTTTTGTAAAAATCACACTATTCTTCTGAATTAGTGTGAAGATCCTTGTACTACATTTCTGACCCAATTTTTAAAAGACAATGATCAAAATCTAAAACAATTTCATTTTGCATAAATATGTGTAAAATATGCCAAATTAAAAGTAGGGTCGTAATGGAAGTTAATTGTATAACATGTTATGGACTTGTGGAGTCATGATGAACACGAGCTACGCAGATTTGTATAGGTGTTTTTTTCACTTTTCTTCATACTTTTGTTTCGGTTACTAACGTTTTTTTTGGAACTAATACTACTATTTCTTCTTCTTCTTCTTCTTTTTCTTTGAAAAGTAGTACTACTTTTTTCTTGTACAAGCTTAAGCTGAAATAATTTGCCGGCTGGAAAGAAGGAAAAAGAGCCTTACACTGATTTATTGAGTTATTTTAATTGGTAAACGACCCTTGCAAAAATCATTATGATATGCTAAATGTTACTTCCCCTCACACAGTACCACTCTTATTTTAAATACAAAATTAGAAATTTGACATTTTAATTTAACAAACTGAACAATTATTTATTAATAATGTGGAAAAATATAATATTATTTATATTTATTATTTTTTTACCATATTTCTTACGCACGTCCTTTGTTGAGAACTTAAAGATAAATACAAGGTTATATGGGATGAATGGAATATATCAATTGAAATAATTTATGAATCCACTCACAAAAAAGCAAAGGATTTTTTCCTTTTCATAAAAATTTTTGCCCTGTAAGATAAATATTAATTAAAATGGGTAATGTAACATGTTGGAATTTTTATTTTTATTTTAATATGAAATTCATTTAATGTCACATGTTAGTTATCTTCCCATTGACAAAGACACTGGAATACTTACAAAAATTGTCAAGAGCAACTGAATCATTGAAAGACAAACTACTAGCATAATTTTAAAAATATAACATGACAAATATTTTAGGACGAAAAGAGTGATTAGAATAGTGTTAATTTCTTAGGAACATTTCACATCTTTTTATCTACTTAGTAATACAAAAATTGACCCAAAATAAAAATATTTGTGTGGATATATATGGAGAATTCAAGTCAAGAAAAACTTTCAAATATTTATGACCTAGTCAAACAATTAATTCACCGTGTCAAAATTATTCTGAGAAATAAAAAATTGGAGAGGACAATTTACCGCCCTAAGTTTAGATATTGCTTTTCTTTGTCATATTTGACACGTTATTACGAATTATAATTAAAAAAAAAATGTTATCACTTATGTGAAACCGGTACCATTTTTAGTCTCTAATCCTGTCAATTAAATCATTTCCTCTAATTAAAACTCCACTTAATTCATTTCCCACAAAACATCATAAGCATTTAATTTCCTCAAATCTTTTTCCAGATTTTAATCCATAAAAGTCGTTTGATTTTTAGTAACAAAAGATTTTAGCATAAACAGTTAATCACTTCATTCTTCATTCAATTTTTCAAGTGTAATAGTTAATAATTCTAAAGTCAAGAATAAATGTTGTGTATTCAATAGGAGGAAGGAAAATTTGTTGTCCCTAATACCACATGTGTAGGTCCCTTAGTTAACCCTTTAGCCACCCTAATATCATTCATAAGTGAGCTTATGTAACAAGTTTAAGATTTATGTTTTTTTATAAGTTATCATTGTATACAATAAAATCGCATTCCATACTGTTTCCATCCAGAACAATGGTTATAGTTATGTTCATCAAAATATCTTAGAACAATAAATACAATTTTTATTTTACGCGTAACAATATTATTATTTGTAATATATTCGGTATTTCATTTACTCCGTCCCAAATAAAGAGTCCTCTTTAGAGAGTTTGACAAGCTGTACAATGGCAACAAGAGCTAATGTTGTGAAAGGGCAAAGTCAACAACAAAATATATGTCCTTCCACTTTTACCCCTTTTTAAATGTGTAGGAAAAGGCTCTGGGACGGTTGAGAAAGAGAGAAATAAAGGAAAGAGCATCACTCCGCTGTTTTTTATTTCCCTTTTCTTTCCCTATATATTTTGACACCATTTGGATTGATTCCATATTTCGGCTACTTAGTTTTTCTTTTTTTATATGGGGAATTCTTCTTGAATGAGTTGTTGAGTGATAAGGAGGGTTTAAGTGTCTCCCCTTTTTCCTTTCTTTTTCAATCCCAGTCATATTCTTCTTAATTGGTGTTTCAAACTCAGAAGCAGAAGAGAAAAAAAAAATTTAAACAGATACTAAATGATGATTTATTGTACAGACTGAACTTCCATTTGGAACTGTCAGTCCTTAATATTTACAAAGGTTGTTGGATTAATTGGGAGCCCAGTTGGTTAAATTGTTTGTTTAAGCTGTTGAAATTGTCCACACTGATACTTGTATTGATTTTTCCAACTCTTATTGGGATTTTTGCTTTGAGGGTTCTTTCCTCAGTGACTTATTTGTTTGTTTTCAATGTTGTTGGACTGTAATTCAGGAGGTTCTCTGGGTCATGGTGTGATCACCGGAGGGAAGGATTCAAGCTGGTGCATGTTGAAAGGGAACTGAAAAGAAAAAATTTGATCTTTCATCAATTTGCAGATCATTTCATGGCTAAGTTTTTGTGTTTCAATGCTGGTTGTTTTGAGGTAATTGTTGGATTTTTCTTGGGCGAATTCATTTCTTTAAATGCTATTAATGCCCATGCAATCTTGTGGATCATGTACTGAGTGTCTTATAGGCACCGACCAACCGACCTTAAATGACGTAGTGACAGTATGTTTGATGAAAACTTTGGGGCCTTGATATTTGGTTGTAATTTCCTTTTGTGATCGCATTTAATCCAGAAATGCTAATTGTGGAACATCAATCTTGTTTTTTTTTTTTGGTATTGTGTGTGGTGATTCTCAATCTGAGTATGCTAGTTCTGATGCTGTCTCTCAGTACAGTAATCTGATTTATGTTAATTGGTCCTTCAGCATTTTTGGAACTGAGTCTGTGGATTTTTCAGGTCCTTGATTGAAAACCTACGTTATTGCAGATTGTACATTTGACCGTCAATCATACTTGGATTCATCTGATTAATTATCCTGTGAAAGTTATCACTTCTTCTCTGTGATAAATTGGAAGATATAAGATATTTTGAACAATTTGGCTATTTTTTGAAATATGTAAGACTACCTTGAAATGAGGGTTTGTGGTGATTCAGTCTCTTTTAACCCTGTGGTGTTGTTCATTAACTCCAACGAAAGCTTGCGGATGCGTTGTTGCATTTAGTTGGTTTTCCAGTTTTTCTTTGAAATCGCCATTTGCACAATTGTCATATTTTGGTTCATAGTTACTTTACCTGGTTTGAGTAGCAACTTTGGCATTATTCACGTGTGTATAAGACTTATGTCTACTGCATGCTCGAGTCTGTAAAAGTTTCGTTCTGAATTGACTCCGTTTGGAGCTGTGAACTCCTCCATCACTGTTGATAGTTGTAGCAATGTTTACCACTTATAATTGCCTTGTAACATGCCATGAAGATCAAATTGTTATTACATATTTAGGCTAATTTAGGTTTTCATCAGCATTGATGGTTGAACTGAAGTATCCAGACAAAATTCATTTCCTGTTTTGCTATGATTTCTTCTCCTGGTTATTGGTTGTTTCTGACAAGTTGTTGAGATTTATAGTTTCTGTGTTTCATTTTATTCTTCATTTTCTGCCTCATTGCAAGTCATTTAAGACCTTGTTTTGACTTTCTATTTCTTGTTTTTCTTCCTTTAGTGCGCCGGTGGTTCATCTTCTAAGAATTCCGGGAAAGGAAAGAGTCGTGAAGGTAATATCAAATATGGTTTCAATCTAGTGAAAGGAAAAGCTACTCATCCAATGGAGGACTACCATGTTGCTAAGTTTGTACGGATTGATGGACATGAGCTTGGGCTTTTTGCAATATATGATGGCCATCTTGGGCATGATGTTCCTGCTTACCTTCAGAAACATCTGTTTGCTAACATATTGAAGGAGGTAACTTACTATGAGAATTTAGCAGGTTTCAAACAAACATGGTTTTACTTTAGCTAACTTATCCCTCTCTTTTTTTCCTTTTTTTCCCCCCAATGTTTTAGGACTCATTCTGGACAGATCCAGGCGGGTCGATCTCAAAAGCTTACGAGAAAACCGACCAAGAAATTCTTTCTAACAGTTCGAACTTGGGCCGAGGTGGGTCCACTGCTGTCACGGCTATTTTGATAAATGGGCGTAGATTATGGGTGGCCAACGTGGGAGATTCACGAGCTGTTCTCTCTCGAGGAGGCCAGGCAATTCAGATGACAATAGATCATGAGCCAAACAATGAACGTGGCAGCATTGAGAATAAAGGAGGCTTTGTCTCGAATATGCCAGGTTATCTCTTTTTCCATCTAATTTACCCTTAAGCACTTGATTGAGATATGGTGTTTTAGTGTAATTAACATTAATGGGGCCACTAGTGTTTGTCAGATTTAGATGTTTAAAGCAGATATGTGTTGTGTCCAGTTATTTCTGTCGTTCTGTCTCTTTGACATGGTATAGTAGACATGCTCTGATGGTAAACAGAACTGCCTGTGCATCTTGGTAATCTCTCCCGTTGTTGTATTTATGGAAGCTACAAAAGCAATAAAAAACCTGCCAAGCTTTTATTATGTTAAAAAAACACATATCAGTATAGGGGTTCATACTGTTATTGAAGCCTCATAAACCTGGATAATTGAGCTCTACTGATGCTGGTGTAGACTTGAATGAAAAGTCTGCATCAAGTGAGATTACAACAATTATGCAGTATTTGAGTTCAGTTTTTTGTGTTTTTTACTGTTATTAATGAAATCTAGACTTCTTCAGTATAACCATGCTACTGTAAGCTTAAGTGTTTGTACAATGCTTGTGTGACACGTAAACGGATGATGCTGAATTCTGCTTTAAACTGTGGTTCTTATCAAATTTTCCAAAAAATTCTCTCTTTGAAAAATTCTTGAAGACTTTCAAGATGATGTCGATAAAATTTTTCTTGTTTTTGCATTTGTAAGAGCTTACTCCTGGCCGCGGCTGTTGATGTTGCATGTTCTCCCATCACTGTGTCATTGCATCTATGTCACACATGATGTTTGCAAAATCCAGTTGAAGCTACCATATACGCTAGATATCCACTTTTTTGCTGCTTTCGATTTCCTTTTAAGACACTACTTTTTTCTTGACTCATGGTCTTTTATTTCTATCTAGGAATCTAAACTTCAAGAAATGATTAGTTAACCCTGACTGATGAGTGATCCTAAACATATGAGATCTTTTTAGGAGTGTTGTAGGGGAGTGTTGAAAGTAATATATTTTGCTACGTTTGCTTCCCATTCTAAGTGTGTTCTGCATTCTTTTGTAGGAGATGTGCCTAGGGTTAATGGACAGCTAGCTGTCTCTCGTGCCTTTGGAGATAAGAGCCTCAAGTCTCATCTTCGTTCCGATCCTGATATTCTTGACATGAATATCGATGTCAACTGTGACATTCTTATTTTAGCAAGTGATGGCCTCTGGAAGGTGAACTGCCTCTTGAGAGTTTCTTTTGCCTTCCATCTAAGCTTATCTAATCGAAGCCTAAATTTATATTTCGATCTTGCATTCAGGTGGTCAGTAACCAAGACGCAGTTGACATTGCTAGAAAAACAAAAGATCCTCAGAGAGCTGCTGAGCAGTTAGTGGCTGAAGCTTTGAAAAGGGATAGCAAAGACGATATTTCTTGTGTCGTCATTCGTTTCAAGAACTGAGATGAAGCCTTCTCCAGTGCAGGACGTAGAGAAAAAGGAGGGGAGAAAAAGAAAAACAGAATGCAAAAAAAGAAAAAGAAGAAGAAAAAGAGATAAGAAAGATTGCCTTACATGCATAGCCATTTTATGCACATAAAAGAAAAACCTAGGTCTAGAATTTATTTCAACAGATGAACCCTTCAGGTCCATTGTCTCATTAGTGTAAAAGAAAATTTATACACCCTTTCAAAAATAGAGATCTCTTATCTTGTAGCTGTCTAAAGTAACTAGTTGATACTCCCTCTGTACCCCAAAATATACTCTACTTTGTTGAGTTATTTAATCAACAAAGTAGAATATTTTTTCGGAATGGAGAGAATATAATTTGTAAATTATATCAATTATGTATACTTACCAAAATACATCACATAAGGTCACGGTAAAAATTGCCTTGCTGCTGGAAATGCTATAACAGGCCTCCAAAGCAAAGAAAAACTTCATAGAAGCAGGGTAAATCGGAAAAAAAAAAAAAAGAAGAGTTAATTAATCCGATTCACTTTCATTTCGAGAGGACTTTAACAGTAACTCCCATCCTTGCCACTAATACGGCCTGGGGAAAATGCTATTCCACTATGTGCGGAAAAGGAATCAACTCTGTTTATTCCTTTTTTTTGAAAAAATTTTCAAACGATTTTAAGACAAAAATTCAGCCTTTTTTGTGATACAATGAAGAAGATAAAAATTTAAGATACTAATCTATAACACTGGTGAGAGATCTTGATCAAGAGGTATTTCACCTACATGAATGAGATATAATATAGTAACAAAAAAACACTAGTACGGTTACACTACCCTAACAAGTTGTTTACACATGAATTTGACAATTTTAAGGTGTTTCGTTGTTTTGTTAGTAAAATTACCAAGAATAATAGTTTTCTTAAAATTATTTTTTACATACGTGATTCAATAATAATACAAATTTTTATTTTTATTTTTTATATATACAGATAATACAAAAATTTTTAGACACATTTTTTTTTTCCAAAAAAATTATTGTTATTGTTATTAAATGTAACCTACCACCAAAAGAGCAAGAAACACATAGGATTTTTGGGCCGATATTAATTTTTTTGGGGTGAGGTTGCCCCACCCCCCAAATCAGTCCAAGCCGTTAGGGGCATTTTTGTAAAAGCATAATTGGCTGGCGCTTCACTTGGAAAGTAGGGCCATCCCGGGATTCTCGATTCAAGGTTTATGAGCTCTCGTAAACGACAAGTGAGATCTCTCTTTCATCAACACAACGGTGCATCATAGAGCTCTCGTAAACGACTTGATAGAGCTCTCGTAAACGACAAGTGAGATCTCTCTTTCATCAACACAACGGTGCATCATCTACCCAGAATTGCCTCAGACCACTCTCCTATTTTAGTCCGATTCTCCCCTAATAATTTTACACAAACTGATTCCAAATCCTTTCGTTATCTATCAGCTTGGGAGGAACACGACGCGTGGAGGGGCTGGATGGAAAGTAGCTGGCCAGTGAACTTAAACCTCCCCGAAGCTCTTGCACTTTTGACCCAGAGACTAGAAGATTGGAAATACAACTTCGTAGAAGATATTTTTAAACGGAAGAGAAGGACTCTTGCGAGGATCGCAGGAATTCAAAAAACACTAGCTGCGAAACACACCAACTCTCTAGAGGCCCTAGAACTCGAATTAAGGACGGAGTATGAAGCTACAGTGACCCAAGAAGAAAGATTGAAAGCCCAGAATTCCCGCTCTCTATAGATAACATAAGGCGACAAAAATACAAGAGAATTTCATGCAACCCATAAACCAAGGGCTTCTAAATGCAGCTGTGAAAACATACAATGTGAAAACGGAGCCTGGTGCTCCAACCCATCAACACTGGCCTCCGAAACTACTAAATTTTTCAGAAACATCTACACAGAGAAAGACAACAACAGAAGCACATATAGCATCAAAGGGAAGTTCCTACCCATCCCAACAAGGTTACAGACCATGTTGGCAAGTGCCATCCAAGATGCAGAGATCAAAACGGCTGTTTTTCAAATGAATCCAGCCAAAGCATGCGGTTTAGAGGGTTTTGGACCAGGTTTTTACCAGAAAAATTGGAATTTTGTCGGTGGAAACATCTGCAACATGGTCAAGACTGCCCTCTCCTTAGGATCGATTGACCCAAGCATTAATAAAGCCATGATCGTCCTTATCCCGAAGGTCAATCCACCTGAAAGATTTAAAAATTTCAGACCTATTAGCCTAATCAATGTTTAAGCCAAGATTATCTCTATGGTAGTTGCTAACAGGCTGAAAAGAATATGACATCACTCATTTCTCCGACACAGACAGGCTTTATAACCGACAGAAATATTGTTGGGAATATAATCACGGTTCAGGAGGCTATACATACCATGCAGAACTCAACCGGGACAAGCGGCTGGATGGCGATCAAGATTGATCTCGTCAAGGCCTTTGATCGCATATCATGGCCCTATATTGAGGATACTCTGTACGACGCACAAATTCTGAAAAACATCATCAGAGTCATCTTAAGCTCACTGGCTACGGGAACAACCAGAATCTTGTGGAATGGTCAGATGAGAGATGAGTTTGCTCCCACACGGGGCGTTAGACAAGGCGACTCCTACTCTTTCTTTGTCTTTGTGTTGTGCATGGAACGACTTACACATGCCATAAATGAAGAAGTGCAGCAACATCGTTGGAGACTACTCAGATTTGGAGACAACCGGGTAACCCTCTCTCATATGTTTTTTGTTGATGACTTGATCCTTTTTGCAGAAGCATCACAAGACCAAGTACAAGTCATCAGGAACACACTAGAGAAATTCTGTCAAGCATCCGGTCAATTAATCAGTAAAGGTAAATCTATTCTTTACTGTTCACATAATGTGGACACAACTACAACCAACAATTTAAGCTCAGCTATGGGAATCACTCTTGTCAACAACATAGAAAAGCACCTAGGGGTTCCCATCATACATGTGAGAATCACCAAGAATTCGTATAACTCCTTAATTTGCAGAGTTCGACAACGAACCACCAACTGGAATCCAAAGCGAATCAGCATGGCCGGCCGTCTAACCCTCAGTCAATCCATCTTGGCATCCATTCCTTTATTCCTGATGCAATCACAATCAATCCCAAAAGGGATTAGTGATGAAATAGACAAAATAAGAGGAATTTTTTATAGGGCAGCATGCAGGGTCAGAGGAAACTTAACTTAGTTAACTGGGACAGCGTGTGCCAACCGAAGAACCGCGGAGGTTTAGGCATTAGGAAGCTTAGAGACATGAATGCCACATTCCTCCTGAAACTAGCTTGGGAACTTCTAGCCAGAAAAGATAGCCTCTGGACCTCCGTCTTCAAGGCTAAATACGCTAACCCACAGACAGGATCCACTAAACTCTCTCATCTGGGGAAGCAATTATCCCTGGTTTGGAATACCGCATTACAGGGAATAAGATGAAATGTTGGAAGTGACACTAAAATACACTTCTGGATAGGCTTATGGGTGGACTCTGATCTCCCCCTTAGGGACCAGGCAATCAAGGAAATTCCGAATGAACTCTTGCAAAAAACGCTTACCGATTATGTTGACAGCAATAGCAAGTGGAATTGGCCACTTATCTCACAGTAGCTGGACCCTCAATCAATCCAGAAGATCATGGTGGTACCAACACCGAATACTGCATTAGGCCCAGACAGACCATCATGGAGGTGGACAAAATCCGACAAATTCTCCATCGCCACCGCCTACAAATTAATCGGGCAAAACAAATGGGAGGCTGAGGATAAAAAATAGAGTGAAATTTGGAGCTGGAATGGCCTCGAACGCATTAAATTTTTCCTATGGAATCTTATGAGACAAACCTTATTGACGAATGCAGAGCGCTGGAGACACATCTCCGATACAAATGCCTGCAATTTTTGTGGTCGAGAAGAAAGTTTGCTGCATCTCTTCCGGGATTGTCCCAAAACGCGTCAAGTTTGGATACGAATTAACCCTAACCTCCTCCCTGATTTTTGGAACTCACAAAATTGGATCTCTTGGCTCCTTTCTAATTTGACCTCCTCTTCTTTGCATGAAGGAAACAGGTGGTCAATCCTCTTTGGGGCTGGATGCTGGAAGATGTGGAGTGCTCGGAATCGTTATGTCTTCGACGGCGAATACTGTGATTCTCAGGAATTGACCCTAATGACTAGAGCGGCCTTCAACGAAATCACAAGATCCAATAACCGAATTCAATCGATGCTTCGCCGCCAATCTGATTCTGTTTCCCCTAAGCCGATTTGGGACTCCCCTCCGAAGGAATGGATCCGACTCAACGTCGATGGCACAGTGGAGACATCATCGTCAAAAGTGGCAGCAGGCGAGCTCCTAAGAAATCACGAAGGGGCTTGGATTACAGGCTTTACAGCCAAAATGGACATCTATTCCTCCCTTGAAGTGGTATTCTCGGCCGCTCTTTTCGAGCTGCGGATTGCATGGGACTTGGACTTCGGAAAGTCCAATTGCAGATGGACTCCACTCAAGCTGTCACCCAAATTAATGACGAACCCAACTTTTGCTATGGCATCAACATCCTGCCTAGAATTATTAATTTTCTTGATAGCCATTAATGGATTGTAGAAACAACCTACATTAGTAGAGATGGAAATGAATCAACCGATTCCTTAGCTAAATTAGGACTATCTCGAAACCCGGGGCTATATATTCTGTCTTCACCGCCTCCAGAAACTTCCGAGAAACTTTTGTTAGATTGCCCTTAGTCGGCTCCAGTCTAATAGAGCGGCTTTTGTATATTTCTCCTGTATAAAGAATCATTATATATTATATATTAAAGGAAAGAAAGATAATCGACACGTGTCGCTTATTGAGACCATCAAGTCTCACTTTCAACTTATTATCATTTTAGCCCTTAAAGTTATGTTTATGTGCTACTTAGTTTTCAAGTTTATCGATTTTATATTTTCAAGGGCAGTTAATTGTGTCTAATCCCAAAGTCCCTTTGCCTATAAATAAGCCATAGACATCTAGACATAATTTACGTATTTATTAAATATATTTTTTAATTCAAACATATCATTAGTTAGTGATGATAATTTTTATTATACAACTTTTAAAAATCTTTGTTGTAATATTTTTGGCCAGATCTTACAAATATACATCTAATAAATAATATCAATACCTCTTATTTTGATCTAAAATTGATTAATCAAAAAAATATTACGGTTTTAAGAAATATTAACAACTACATTATTTAATTAATTCTTTTAGAAGATAAATTTTTAACATTAACAAACCCGCGCAAAGCGCGGGATACGTACTAGTAAAAAAAAAAAGAATTGGCTGGCGCAATTTCTCGGAAGGTGCCGTCCAATGACGTCATTATTGTTCAGAATTATTTTCTTTTTTTTATTTTCTTGCGATTTGCTTCAAAAAAGAGAATAGATGAGACTATCCACGCGCGGTTGTCGGGGCGTGCAGTACACAATCTGAAATTTTCTTCTAAAATCGATTTGTTAGCCGTGAAATAGTTAACGGCGGATTATTAAAGTGGGTTTTTGTTTCCCGCGTTTTGACGTATAAAACTCTTGCGTTTAACAGGCACGGCGTTACATTCACAAACTCCTCCCCTGTTCGTACACTCACACATAATCCCTCTCCCATTTCTGTTTCCTCCGGCGATTTTACAGTCTGACACCCACGAAACCTTGCAGACTAGCCACCTATGGACACTAAAATCCTACGAATTTCAACCAATTGGATTGCTTCCAAGATTATATATAAGACCCATGAAGCCATCCAGCTCTTCTTCACCCTTGATCAAAGTCTTGTTGTTTGGGTATGCACAATTGCTTAGCCTTTTTTTTTTTTTTTTTCCTTCTTTGTTTTGGAGCTTAATATCGGTGGTTTTCTTGATTTATTCCCATCTTGTCATCATTTTTTAATTTGGTTTTTCTTCTTTTCCTCTGTTTTTCGGGCAGGAGTTGGAAGCAATTTCTAAAGCTATCTGGAGCTTATTTGGGTTTGTGAATCAATTTCTGAAGTAATTCCTGTTTAAGGTGTGATTTCTCAACCTTGACTGTAACTAATTGAGTTCTCTGTTTTCAATCTTTTTTGTTTGTTTGTTTGTTTGTTATATGACTTGTTATCATGTGTTACCGTTTATCTTTTGTGGGACATTTTCCCGTAGTGCTTGTGGGGATGTATTGGACTGTAACTGGAGAGAATTCTAGGAAGTAAATGGGGTTCATTTAATGAGCGAAATTATCTGTTTCTCTTGTTATTGTTTCCACAGTAATCATTTGAGGTGCGTTTATCTGCTTTGCTGGCTGTTATGGTTTCCGTTGTATTGTAATCACTTTAGGTGTCACTATGTTGTTGTTAATTTTTTATACACCCTTTATCCTTGAGGAAAATGAGGTACTCTGGAGAAGAGTAATATTGATATGTGAATTTTCACACTTTTGAACCGGATCATGCTTTTAGACTACTAATAAAAGAGAAATGTGTAAATGGATCTTGTTCAATAATCCTTACCATGGGATTGCTTAACTTTCAGGTTTCTTTTTAAGGACTAACATGCTGACACAGCTGAGTCCATTAAGAACTAACATGCTAATATAGCTGAGAGACTAATTTAGGACATGTTAAATTTTGATAAACTCGTAAAAATATGCTGCATGATAATGTTCCTGACATCAAATATGTCACCCTTCCTTGAAAAGCAAAGTAACTGTGAATTTAGTGAATGATTGACCATTGTCCAGTATCCACTTCCGTGAAAGTCTGAGCCTTAGGTTTCCCTTAAACTTCATTCTCCTTTCTGTCCGTAATTGAATGATCCCAACATGTGTAATGGTGCAAACCCTTATCTGGATTATAATACTGTTGTGAGGAATAATGCAAGGGCAGCCAGAAATACTTGTCTATGTAATCAGCAGTAGCTTTTTTTGGTCTTTCTTTCTCTTATTATTGTGTTGTCCTATTGCATGATATGTTTTGCAGAGAATCATGAAAGGAGGAAAGAGCAAAAGAATGCAAACAGTTAAGCTGAAGGAAAAAAAGAACGTATGTATTTCATTTTGTGTTTCATCAATGCATTTCAATTCTTTCTTCTTCTTTTTTCATCAATGCATTTCGTTTCAGTAAAAGAAGATCAGACACCATTGCAAAATAATTCCAAAGTTGATTTGAGTAATGATCATGTATGAACTAGTAACTACTATTAGTGAACTACTTCAAAGCAACTGTTTTTTTGTAATCCAATCCAATAATAAGATATTCAACAGATTCCATTGAACTACAGAATTCAGTCAAGTTAGGATAATCATTTATAAGTTGTTATGTTAGCTCTCAACAGCAGCCAATTTGTTTTATTGTAATGACTGTGTACAGCCAATTTGTTGTTGATTTTCTACTTGTGTTTTTTGCTATTTGCAGTCGATCAAGGGTTTGTTTTACTGTAAGGACTGTGCTGCAGTCAATTGGGATGAATATGATAATGTTTTGGAAATGACACTCAAGGAACTTAAGGATCATGTCAACTGGCACGAGGTAGTTTCCTTTCATCCAAATTTATTTAGACTATTAAAGGAATTGCCCATTTAGTTGTTATTATTAATGTCAATTGTTGTTAATCTTCAGGCTAATAACCAAGCTGCTGAGGAGCATGCAGTGGAAGTCTGAAGATGAGAGAGAAGAGAGGATTAGGAGTAGATACTACTAATCTTCTATCCTTTACATATAATATGTCAAGTCTTGGATTATATTTAGTGTTTTAAGTGCTGGACGCTTTAAAGAATGGGTATGCGTATTGACTGATGTTTTAGTATTAAGTTGAAAGTCTAAATGATATGGATTTCACCATGCTTCTCTAATTTTCTGGCTGTTTGATCATTTAAATTGGAATCCGAAATGTTTGTGGCTTTCGGAGCTATGTTTTATATCATTATAAACTCGTTGAAAGATCTTGTATCTTTCAGATTACCAAAATCTTGACTGTCTTTTCTTACTTGCATTTTGCATTCGCCGATTGTTTTATACTGTCCAACGATCGTGTTTGACTCGTAACAATTTGCCATTGAGTTTGAAGGAGAGGAGGAATTGACAATGGGTATTTAAGCACAGTGTCAGGATAAATACCAGACGCAAGGCATGACGTTGAAGGATCTTCCTACTTTTACACGTACAATGAATCCTGAAGACATAGTTGCTGAATTTTGCAATGTCAACGGAACTGCCAATTCAAAGAGGGCATCTACAATAATCTTGAACACAATTGATGTCTTAGAGGCTTTAGATACACTATTTGCTGGTAAGGCAAAGCCCGGGACTTGATGAATTGAAATCGATGCGATTGAATCTATGGAAAAGAAGAATCTGGTTCTCCGGAATAGAGCTAGAGCTAGATAGCAAAGAACCCAACTCGTGAATTTCGATAATATAGCTCGGATGACTTCACAACAGCTGATAGAATTAGCTTGGTGGCAGGCAAACAGCAAACAGAGAGATTCATGTGGTCTATTAGGCCCTGATCTTGTGATAGGTGATTCCATGGTTCTTCCAACAGAATTTCAAACTGAAACTCCGAGCAAAGATCCTTATTAAGTCACCTTCAGTTACAGGGGTTTTGATACACTGTGAACGTGATTCAATTCTGGAAAGTATCGGCGCAGGATGATCTGTTTTGCAAGCCTTGGCCCAGCAAACCATGACAATGGGGTCCCTTGTCTCAGATTCACCAGGCCACCCATTGGTTTAATGTGGGGAAAATTAACCGCAAAAGCAAACGCAGGATTCCAAGGTTCAAGAGACAAATTAACATAATAAGAACAACAGCTAACTGGACTACAGAGAACCAGATAAATGTAAGTTCTTTGCATAAAGGATTAACTCCAAAATACTCTTCAGGAAGACAAGAACTCATAAATAACTTGCATACTAATTGTATCCCAGCTGCTCTATTGTAATGGTTGTACTCATTTAACAAGCATTCACAGTTTTATAATAATAATAATAATAATAAAAAGTACTAGTATAATTATGTAACTAAATTAGAAATTGAATGAAAGGTCTTCTGGCAAAGGTAATGATGGTTGGATCCAAGTCGCAGTGGACGGCATGTCTTGCAATGTGTAGGATTCTTTAGAAGAGAATCGACCATCGTACGAATGATACTTCTTGGTCTTTAAAGAATAGAAAACACCGCTGGCGCCATAAAATTTGGGAAAGTAGATCTTGTTACTCATGCGAGGATTGGTAGCCTTTGCCACGAAGGATGCCGTCTCGCTAACAAAGAGCATCCTACCCCTCAGATTTTCAACTGGAAACCATTTACATTCACGACGACAAAACTCGTAAACCGAGACTTTTGTTTCATCACGGCTAACAATCACCGCGAAGATCCCTCCTCCATCTTCCTCAAGTCCGGCAGCTAAAAAGCTCTGGTTCGTATCCAAAAATCTGGAAGGCGCGGCTCCCACTCTGCTAGGCCCGACTTTAAATATGGGGGGCCGGCACCAATATTTGAATGTTATATTATCTCCGTGAGGATCTTGGACTGCATACACACGTCCCTTGACATCCAGGCAGTAATATTGATCATCCTGGTAAACAAGCGTACCGTTTGAAATCCGAATGTTATTCTGGTTCACGAAATATTTATAATGCCAAGACTGTCTTTCCCCAGAGTTGATGTTACCAAGTATTATTTGGTGCCGAAGCAGCGGATCATCAGATTGGAAAATTCCAAAGATAGACCAATCAGAAATAGTTGGTGGGAAGGGAAAACTTAATGCTATGATATCATAGTTAGGACCAATATCTATATCTATCCTATTCATGTTGGTACTCAAAGGGTTGAAAAAGAAGAATTTTCTTTTCTGATGACGATGACGACGATCATCATCCGTAGTGGAAACGAGCAACCAGCCAAATTTGGAGCAATGTATTTCCGCATCATTAAGTTCTGGGATTTTGACGTTATAAGTGTAATTATAACCGGAATGGAATAGTTTGGTACAAGCACAATGGCTGCTACCACCAATGTAGCCATGCAATAATAAGTATGGAGTAGTAAAAGAAGGCCGATGCTTGGATGTTTCAAAGGTTAAAGCAGGATTTTGGATCGATTTTGTCGCTTTACATAATGAATTGAAGGCTAATCGATCTTTTGTGAAGAGAAAGGACCGAATCAAAGCCAAAATTTCCTGAGGCAAAACTGACAATCTATCGATACCCCTTTGCTGCTCTTCTTCTTCTTGATCTTCCTCATCATCACCTTCTTGAACATTCAAACTGGACAATAATGTCAGAACCAAGGGAGTAGTAGTTTCTTTTCTCATACTTCTTCGAACTCGACGTGGCTTGAAGTTGAAGTCGCATAAAATAATTTTAGTTGAGAGAAGATAGATCTGAAATACAAGACAGACTTATATACATAATACTTATTTTTCTTGGGTAACCAAACTTTCGGTCTGCCGACTTCTTTTCACAAGAATAAAAAAAGGCAACAGGAATTGTGTTCTATTCTAATTCGTCTACCCCAAATTCCCTCTCCAAACTAAACAACCGAATTAATTAATAATATAATTACTTTTTTCGACCCACCAATTTTCTTGACGAGTCCTTTTTTTTAATTTCTTTCCCCAAGTATTGTGGAATACACTTTAATAATAATAATTATATTTAGAACAGTTTGCTTGTTTTGTTTTTTTTTTCTTTTTTCCATGTGTTCTTAGAAAGTGGGACAGGAATTTTTCCCTATCTCGTTTGGATACAAAAAGGTAACTAAAATCTCTATAAATATAGAGTTGATTTTGTACAATTTGTCAAAGCCAGACCTTGGCCTTATCAACGGATTTCGTTCGAAGGGAAAATTGAATATTCGATAATAGGGTGAAACTTGGGTGTTTTCTCTCTGCCTCCTCTTCAACAGGTAAATTTTTATTTGTTTTTTTCCCTCTAAGATTATTCTAGATCTGATTTACTACGTCATTTTCTAAGGATTTGCGATTGATTATTTTTATTCTACCATATGATGAGAAAAGAAATTATGCACTCCATCTGTACCAACAAAAAAAAGTACTCCGTAGTTATGTATACTATTTTTTTGAGATTCAAGGAGTAATAATTTAGTAATATAATATAATTTTCTCTAAAATTGACATCGTGTTTCGTGAAACTAGGAGCGGTACATAATCTTTACGTCTCTTCAGTTTTGACATTGTTGTCGTTATAAACTCTCCAAGAGAGTTGGAAGTCAACCGTATATTATATCCTTCTAAGGAGTTGGAACTTGGAAGTACGACGTATGTGTGTACAGGGAAAGGGATTCCATGGGAATTTTTATTTTCTTTTTCCCTTATTTGAAATCATACTTGTATCTGTATATGTACTTCATTATTTGGTTTGATTTTATTAATTTAAATATTTATTACTAATCTCCAAATAATTTGAGTACGAAGTTTGTGTCTCTTAATTGACCCAAAATCTGGCGCTTACGAATTTGTTCGCAGTTTTTGGTGTGCAGGAAAATTAACCAGCCGGAATGGAGGAGGAAGATAGGCTTTTTTATTGTCCAAAACTTGATCATCATGAGAATTATTACCCTTGGCTCCTCACTTCCCATGGGGCAATGTTAAACTGTCAGAATTTCTTCGACCTTAACAAAAATCGTTGCTATACGAGAGACATTAAGGAGATGAGGGGCAAGTGTTTGTTCGGTGACTCAAATGGATGGCTAATTTTGATCGACTTCATCAAAGACAACTCTTACCTTTTAAACCTAGTTTCAAGGGCAAAAATTCAACTTCCAAATATCAAGGCTGTGAAGGGTTCAGATCACATTCCTCCTAATTGCATTACCCAAAGGGACAAATGCATACTTTCCAAGCTCCCAGAAGAAGATAACTGTCACATCCTCTTCATATCTGATCATGGTTTCTTACATTTTTGCAAGTTAGGTGACGAGAAGTTTATCCATCAGCGTTCATGCTTTGAAAACAATGGTCATCTGGTGGCAGCCACAACTGTTGATGGAACGGTTTTTGGTTTATTAAAACCAAGCTACCAACTCGTCTTTGTTCGTTTCTTTGATTCATGCCTGATGATCGAGCCGATGTTCAAGCCTTTTAAAATACCGCCGATATCCCCGTCTTTGGTGAAACGCCGGTCTCAAGATTATTTTCTTAAATCAAAGGAAAAGTTTCTGTACATTGTCAAAATCAACTCCAGATTCTTCACCAACAATGCTGCACGGTTTCAAATCTTTGAAATTGATGCGGATGCATGTCGAGAGTTGACGAGTTTGGATGGGCTTACCGTTTTTCTTTCAAATGGAAGTTGTTGTGTTGTGAGCCCTCAAATTACGGATCATCAACCTTCAAAACTAAGAATACTGCCAAATTGCATATATTTCGTCGAGCCAGGTGATAAATTTATTCGCATGTGTAACTTAGAAGACAACTCCATCACAACTCTCCCACCGCCTTCACTCATTGTAAAGCATGAGCTTTTGATGCATAGTTGGCTTATGTTAAATTGATAATTTGTAAGGTATTTTTGTTGTTGTTATACTTTCTCTCTTTTACCTACAATAATAATTCGCTTTGTTGACGGAGAAATATGTTTTATAGATGAATCATATGACCAATCATTGCTCTTAAATTTATTTATATATATATATATATATATGACCAATTGTTGTAGTTCTTATTGTGTTATTTTGTCTCTTGAACCTGGAAATACTACAATTACCTTTGTGTGGTTAATAAAATGGAACTCAAATATTCTTATTCCCTAGAAATTCTTACAACATTGCCACCTGCGTGATCGCATATGCAACTTCCAGTCTTAGTTCAGAAATATCAACAGTGTTACTACCATCTTGGTTTTGAACCCAATTTGCAAGTTACTTAGGGTTCACATCATGATTTTGTAGTGCATGTGAGATATGTGTATCATTGGTATGTTGTATTGCGTCTATTTTAATGGAGTTCTATGTATACCTATCTTTTGACGACCGGATCAGAAGGCGAGCCAGTAATTTAGATGAGTTTCTTATTTACTGGTTTAATCGATTTGAATCAGACTTCAAAACTAGTGAAAACCAGCTAGAAAGAACGTTACTTTCTCTCTTTAAAATAGAGAACTTCTCTCTTCGAAGAGAGACAAAAAATCCCAAAACAGAAACATACCAAAATTGGCTTAAAATTCCAGCAAACTCTCGATCCACTTTCCCCCAATTTCCTTTTGTTTAAAGCTGAAAATTTTGCTTCAATCACCTAAAACCCTTAAGTAGAAACCCAATTTCAAGAATCTTCCCCCCCCCCCCCACCTCTTGGTCATTGCGCACCGATCTTTGGCTCAAGTCGAGAAGAAGAAGCAACAATTAAGCATTGACAAAGACTTCTGAGCTATCTATGATCGTCAATTCGGAGAGAGAGCTGAGTCGCTTATCACAATTTCACATAATTTCCTCCTATGATCAGTATTCTATTTGGAATTAGGGTTTACAATTAATCCCGATTCTTTTGTCTGGTTCGGCTGAGATTTGTTGGAGGTTTAATCAAGTAAAGTCAGTTGTTGTAATTGTTAAGAGTCTGCAGTTGTTGTGTCTGAGTTTGTGTTCTCGAATATAATTGTTTGTTTTCTGGATTGCTACATACTGTGATCTATTTGTGAATTGGGTTTCATCTAATTTAGAAGACGGCTTGATTAGTTCCATCCTTAAGTATGGAACCCTTATGTTTGATTGGTCGTCTCTTGGATGATCAGGATTTTGGTCGAGCGAAAATGCAGAATTTTGTGCGGGAAAATTGGGATACTTCTGTCCTTGTTGCTCGTAAAGAGAAGAAATTCTTTGTTTTCCACTTCACTAGAAAAGAGCACCTCTTGACCTTCTTCATAATGGCCCATATACTATTGATGGGGCGTTGTTGGTTCTACATAGATGGTATCCATGCTTGCCTCTTAAGAATCTCGGTGTTGAAAGGATTTTACTCTGGGTTCGATTTTATGGTGTCCCTATCGATTTGTTGGAAAAATCAGCAGCTATAGATTTAGCAATAAGGGTGGCAGAGCCAGTGCAAGTTGGAGGTCTTGATGTACAAGAACGCCGAACAAGCTGTCTAAGAGTACGTGTATGGATAAAGCCCTTCCAGTCTCTGGTTTCTGGTTTTTATTATGAATTATTGAATGGAGATTTGGTCTGGGTTGAGTGCTCCTATGAAGGTGTTTTCAAAATCTGTCATAATGCTCTAGAATTGGGCACCCAGTCTCTAGGTGTAAAGCCCGTGCTCCAATAAAGGGAAAATTGAAGATTTCACCTAAATACAAAATGTACAGCAATCTTGATGTTAAAGAGATCAAGGTCTTGAATGGATTTAAACTTAACAAAGAGACAGAGAACACTCTCTTTGAAGATAGCAAAAAGACCATTCAATTATATAATGGTCAGGAGCAACAAGTGTCCCTAGGGAAGCAAATTGCATCCATTAAAAAGAGAAAGACAAAGATAAAATTTTCTTATGACTATTCGGAGAGAGATGACAGGGACACACAACAAAAGGAGACTTATAAAAGGAGAAAGCTCGGCATATTTGATACTGTCACAAATTACATGATAAAAGAAGTCCAAACACATAAAGGAGGCTATTTCGCAGTTAAGGAAAAGGAAACGGAGCTTAGAAGGGTGCACCTCTAGTAAAAAACTGAGAGGGTTAGACAGAGTGGAGGGCTTACATATAATCAAAAAACATATCAGTCTCGTCATGAGAAGATGAGACAGAAGAAGAGACGCTTACAAGAAAGTGCAGTTTAGAACTTCAAGAGGCAGAGAATTGACAGTGATACGTATCCTGGGATCTTGTCTCAGTACATACCGGAAAAGTTACCAAGGAAAAGGAACAGGGACAATTATATTGAGCTAGAAGTACTGAAAAGGAGCAGGAAAAAGTAGAAAAGAGAAGCGGCAACATACTTGGCTGCCAGTAGACGTCCGACAGGACCAATCACACTCCGGGAACCGGCATTGAAGACGAAAAAGGTAGCTGATACCCTGCAAGGCAGAGTGAACAGGAAGCGAGTGCTGGAGAGTATAGACATCAGAAGCTTTGAGGGGTCCGAATCCAGTGTTAATAATTTTCCAAACAAAGCAAAGAAGGAGGCTAAAGTGCCGGAGTTAAAAGGCAAATTTGGGAAGGATGAGAATTGGCTAGTTGATCTCCTGGGAAAGGCAATGGAAGAGAGGCGGCAGGCGACAGCAAATGTAGCAAGTGCCTTCTTAGTCTCATCAGATTCAGACAGCTTGGAGGAAGATAAAGCAGTTGATGGTTTTGCAGTAGTTGAACCAAATCAACCACCCCGGAAGCCATGAGAGTCCTTTCGTGGAAGTGCAGGGGCTTCAATCGGCCGCCTGCTCTACAACATATCAGGCATCTTCTAATTTCCAAAAGCCTGATATTTTGTTTTTGCAAGAAACTAAAGTTATGTTACATGTTTTGGAAAAATGGTTGGATAGGTCTTCTCTTTTAGCAGTATAGAAGTAGTTGAACCTGATCACCTGGCAGGAGGTTTATCTCTCTTTCGGAACAGTAGTGTTAATGTAGAAGTTCTTAGCAAGTCAGTTAATGTAATTGCAGCCAGGGTGGCAGACTTTTCCGGATTTCAGATGGGTTTCCTTTTTGTGTACGGACATCCGGAACAAGTACACAGAAGTGTAGTTTGAAGTAATATTAGATCCTCGATTATACAGTATGATTTGCCTTGGGTTTTGTTAGGAGATTTGAATCAAGTACTTGAACAGGTAGATGAGAGGGATGGTCTCAAGGTGAAGGAGCAGTAAACAAAAGATCTAAGAGATCTCTTGGAAACCTTGGATATGGTTGAAATTCTCTTTCGTACATGGTCCAATCAGAAAGGGAAAGACAGCATTCTAGAACGTCTGGATAGGGCTTTTGCAAGTCAAGTCTGGTTACAACATTATCCACGGGCCTATGTACTAAACCTATCGATTGCGATATCAGACCACGGCCCCTTTGTGTTACATAAAATGCAGGAAACGACGACAAGGGCGAGCAAGCCTTTGAGATTTGAGTCTTTTTGGTCGAAATGCCCGGTGGTACAAGAGATTGTACAGAAAGTTTGGCAGCTACATAGAAGCTTTGAAGGTGATGTTGATTCAAGACAGCTGTCACTAAGTTTACAAACCACCTTGAAGCATCTTACAAACTGGAGTAAGCAATCCTTTGGAGCCCTTGATGGGAGGATCAGAAAGAGCTTCACAACCCTGCAACAACTACAACAGAAGGGAGAATCACGATGGAATCTTAATCTGATCAACAAAGAGAAAGCAGAGCTCGAGCGTTTATTAGTTTTGCAGAATGATTACTGGGCTCAACGTGCAAAAGTGAAGTGGAACCAGGAGGGGGATCAAAATACCAAATTTTTTCACAACTGGGAAACCAAGCAAAATGAAAGAAATTGGATTACAGCTTTGATGGATTCCACTTCTACATGGTGCTATGATCAGATAAGGGTTTAAGATATGATGAGGGAACATTTTAAGGCTGTGTTAGTAGAGTCGGAGGACTATCATGAAGACGATTTATGGGATACCCTGCCCTCTTTGATAGATATGGTTGAACAGGTTATTACACCATAGCAACAACAAAACTTGGGTGTCCCATTCTCAGAGGGTGAAATTGAAGAAGCCGTGAGGGGTATGGCACCATGGAAGGCTCCTGGTCCTGACGGGATCCCGGCTGGTTTTTACCAGAGATTCTGGACTCTCATCAAGGAAGATGTCATCAAGGTATGCAAGGGGATTTTGAATCACCAATAGTGGGACTCAGAGTGGAATCAGACGAAAGTGATTTTCATTCCAAAAAAAGGTAACCCCCAAAGCCCTGCGGACTATAGACCCATAAGTTTGAATAATGTTAAATATAAGATAATTGCAAAGGTTCTAGCAAACAGACTCAAGCAAGTGCTACCAGATATAATTTCTGAAGGCCATTATGGTTTTGTGCCGGGTCGTTATATTGGGGAAAATATACTATTGGCACATGAAGCCATTGAGTTTATTAGAAAAAACAAGAGTGGTCGGCGTGGAGTAGCTGCTGTGAAAATTGATATGAGTAAAGCCTACGATCCAATGTCATAGACCTTTCTAGAACAAATATTACAAAGAATGGGCTTCCTATTTTCTTTTGTTAGCCTTATAATGAAATGTGTGTCCACGGTAAGCTTCTCGACGTGCGTGAATGGTAGTCAATCTGACTACTTTGAACCAAGTTGAGGACTTCGTCAAGAATGTCCCATCTCGCCCTACCTCTTTATAATCTGTCAACAGGTGCTATCCATGGCATTGAGGAGCTTAGACCGAGATGGGAGAGGCTTTGGAATGAAAATGGGGCCATCCACACCGAGGTTAACACAACTTATGTATGCTGATGATTGTCTAGTCTTTATGGAGGCAACAAGAAGAAATGTGAGAGCACTTGAAAAGGTTCTTGATCAATATGTGAAGGCGTCTGGTCAGAGGATTAATTTTGACAAAGCTACCATTCTAGTGAGCCCCAACAGGGGTTCCACGTTTAAGGAATGGATGTCATCATGGCTCCAAATCCCAATCAAAAGCTGCCAGCAGAAATAGCTGGGTTTGTGTCTGGATTTTGTAAAGAGAAAGACACTACTCTTTGGAGATATCGTTCAGAGAATGAAGGCAAAGCTTAGTACATGGAAAAATCAAACATTATCTACAGCTGGAAGGATAACCCTTGCGAAACATTCCCTTGCCACTTTACCAATATACATGATGGGAGCTTTTAAATTACCACGAAGTATTACAAAGCAGATAGATCAGGTGGTGGCAAGATGCATTTGGAATGCGGATAAGGATGGTAGATGCATCCATTGGAAAGCATGGAGTCATTTATGTAGATCCAAATGGTATGGAGATTTGGGTTTCCATGCATCCCAACAAATGAATCAAGCATTGCTAGCAAAATTAGCTTGGCGTATTGTGGAAGATAAGGACTCCTTGTTGGCACGTATCTTTCTGGCGCGGTATGCAAAAGGAAAGACTTTCTAGACTGTAAGATTTCAAAAACAGCATCATAGGGCTGGCGGAGCATTCTCTGAGGAAGGGAGTTGATAAAAGCCGGTTTAAAATGGCAAGTCCGAAATGGAGAGAGCATCCAAATTCAAGAGAACTGGATCCAAGACGCGGAGAATCCACTGCAAGGGGTAAGTCTCGTGGAGGATTGAAGCAATCTAAAGGTAAAGGACCTATGGGATGATAATAGGCAATGGAAGGAACCACTTATTAGAGAAATCTTTCCGGCAGAACCGATACCAAAAATACTCAAGATGTAAGTTCCAAAAGGTCAATTATTGGCACAAGACCGTAGAGTTTGGGCGTAATCCACTTCAGGTTTATATACTGTGAAGAGTGGATGCCATGAGGCACGACAACAATTGTTGCAGGCCCAATCGCCAGAAGAGGTAGGGCAAGGCATATCAATGGATTCTAAGGCTTGGAAATGCTTCTGGGGTGATATTGGCAAGAATGCAATGGTTGCTATGGAGAATGGTTAATCATGCATTACCATCGAGCATGGCACTAAGTCGGAGAGGAGTGACGACATCAACAATATGTGTCAGGTGTAAACAATAGCAGGAGAACGTACAACACATTTTTCTAGATTGTGAGCATTCAAAGAGAATATGGAGGTGTTCTCCCCTAAGTTTTGACTTTGATAGAGGGCCGACAAGGCCTCTGGCGGATTGGTTTCAAAACTGGTTGCTGTCAGCACCAGACAAGGAGGCAATACAGCTGCCATTCTTCATTTTTTGGTATATCTGGCTTGCCAGGAACAAGGCGGTTTGGGAGCCCCACATAGAAGATCCAGGTCAAGTACAAGCGCGTGCGGCTTCAGAATGGCAAGCTTTTAAAAGGGCAAGGGAGTCGGTACAAGAAAGCCGAACACACATAAAGTCGCGCTTAGAAGTCCGGTTGGCTATGTGTGAGCAAATGCAGGGACAATATTATGTTAGGACTGATGAGGCATACTAAGAGGCTACCTGTCAGGCTGTTGGCGCCTGGGAAATCATCACTCACCAAGGGCGACACATAGCTTCAGGAGTAAGCAGTTTTTAAGCGTCTTCCGCAGAAGATGTTGAAGGAAGAGCATGTCTCCTTGGGCTACAAGTAGCGATAGAGCGGGACTTACTCGACTGCCAGCTACAGACTGATAGCCAGAATATTGTGGATTATAATCTCTCTAGGAAACAATTTCACTATTCCCTATCCCCTTTAGTGGAGGACATTAAGGTTGCTATTTCTAGTTTTCATACTGTTAAATGTGTTATGAAAGTTAGTAGAGATATAGTGGAGGGTGTGCATAGATTAGCAAAAGCAAGCCTTCAACTAGGAGATATTGTGTAATGTTTCTTTTATCAGTAACGGAAATGTTTGTTTGGTCACAAAAAAAAAAAAAAAAATTGGCTATAAAAAATATTTGAAAAATAATTTTTTCCCCCAATTTGAAAAAAGTTTGGTTCATCGGTACCGGTTCTTGGTCGAACCGCGGTTGTACTCAAGTTTGATCAGTTTTTTGGTTTATCGGTTTTTTATCGAACTCGGATCAGGAAGGCCTTCGATGCCCTATCTAACCGGTTTGATACCCGGTCCGGTCCGATTTCCAAAACATAGTTCTATACTAAACATGATCAGCAATGGATCCTTTGTGACACTCACTGTGACACAATCCAATTATTTATTATAAATTATATAATTTGTATTAATACATATACTTTTCACAATCACTTTCAAAATTATATATTTTAGGACTAAGGGTTTACTTTTTTCGGGTTATTTTTTTTTAATTTTTACAGTTAAAAAATTCAATAAAAGTAGTCAATTTCATAAAAATAAGACATTGATATAAAAAACAAAATAAGAATATGAAAATTGTCTACATTGAAAATATGTGATTATGGTTTATGTATTAACACAAATTATATAATTTATAAAAAGTAATTAGATTGTGTCACAGTGAGTATTACAATAGTGTGTCACAGATGATCTGCGTTGCGTACGTTATTATGCTTTTTTTATTATTATTATTATCTTGCTCGAGCTAGAAAAGTTTTGAATCGTTTCATCTATTCTTGGAAAATGTAAGTCTAAGGGCCAACTTTTGCGCCTAATCTGGCCCTGATAGGGCTTGGTTGTAACTTCTAATCGTGTTGTAAGAGATTGAGAATGGATATAGGATGATGAACAAAAATTCAACCCAGCTCCCACATGAGGGAGAGTATATGATCCGCTGTTGTTAGGCATTATTCCTAATGTAAAAGCCTTGATTGTTGATGGTAACCGCATTCCACTATGATGAAGAGAATATCATCATCTATATAGATCATCAAGGTAATTGATACCCACTACCACAATTAGTTTGTTTGTGTTGGCATTTTCATCTTTGTTTGATTCAATTGACAGTGTGTGTTCCCTTCTTTTCTTCAATAAATCACGCAAAAAGCTTCTTGATGGAGCTATGAAGGCTTTCATTTCGGAGCGAGCCAACATTCGACTGCGATAAATTCATTCGCATGATCAGCTTCTAGTGCACATGAAATCACTGGGTTGCTGGTGAATTCGAGAGCAGAAAAACCCGTCAAAAAACTTTTCAGGTATAAGGTGTAGTAAGATTTTTCTTCTATTTTAAGGCTCTTTCTTTCATCATATTATGTGTAAAGGACTACTTGAAAAAAGATGAAACAAAAGTTTGCCGTGATGAAACAAAAGTCTCGGTTTACGAGTTTTGTCGTCGTGAATGTAAATGGTTTCCAGTTGAAAATCTGAGGGGTACAATGCTCTTTGTTAGCGAGGCGGCATCCTTAGTGGCAATGGCTACCAATCCCCCATCTCCCCAAACCATCCAATCCCTTACCAGATCTCTCAATTTCATCCCTATTGATATTAACCTCAGCTCTTTCAATCCTTTTCCCCCATTCGTTGAAAAAAAAAATCTATGGTTTGCTTGGCAAAAGCTTGCAAAACAGATCATCCTGCCTGTGCCGATGAATTACATCTACAGCTTACCAAAATTCCTTTTAACTGAAGGCGACTTAGGATCTTTTCTCCACAAGAACCTAAAAGCCTGTTAGTTTCGGTTTCGAATTCTGCAGGAAGAATCACGGCATACACCTAACACATTCTCTGTTTGCAATTTTGCCAGCCCCCTAGCAAATTCTATCACCTGCTATGAATCCAAGCAGTACCACCAAATTTCACATAAACCAATGAGTTTTGGGTTCGTTTCTATTCCAGAAAAACAGATTTCTTCTTTCCCGAATAGTCAATCGAAGTGATTTCAATTCATCAGGTTACAATTCAAAAAGGGTACAGTATATTGGAGGAGGAAACAGGGGAGGGGAGGAGCAGGGCATCTAAAACTAGATTCTCTAAGACGTCAATTGTGTTTAAGATTATTGCAGATGCTTTCATTGAATTATCAGCTTCGTCAATTGCAGAATTCAGCATTATGTCTTTCGGATTTGTTGTCGTACGTATAAAAAGCAGGAAGATCTTTGTGTCCTATGCCCTGCATCTCCCTTGTATCCAACCTGTAACTGTGTCTAAATACCCATTTGTCAAATCCTCCTCCCCTCCAAAGTCAATCTCACATCTGATGTTTCTTGTCAGAATTCAGCACTCAAACAGGATTAATGAAGTTTTAAGCTCGTGACACCACCGGGAATCTAAGAAGCCCACCGGAGGAATGCTAGTAAGGGAGGAGGGATTGCTCTTGCTCTGTTGCTGGAGCAGTTTTCTGACTTTTTTCTTCTAAACGGGGTTCAGCAGCAATTCCTTTGCATTTCTGAGTTTCTTCTCTGTTTGAGCTGCTTAACGAAGGAAAATGCTTACAAAGAGCAACAAAAGTATGATTTGTCATCATTTTCTATACTCCCTCCATTCCAAAATAAGTGTCGTCCTATACTTTGCACATAGTTTAAGAAACTCTTAAATAGAGTAATAAAATTACTTGAATATCCTCAATCAATCCCATTATAAAATTGTCCACCAATAGCATCAACTCTTTTGAGGGTAATTTTAAAAACTTTTGATAAAAAGTGCATTGAAATGTGAGAAAGACACTTATTTGAAACTAGATATTATACCCGCGCGATACGCGGGATTTATTTATACACATTATAAAAAATCAACAAAAAAAAATATAAAAAGTGTAAAATGAATTTTACTATTTTTATTTATAATCCATCAATAATGTAGGTGTTTTGGAGTATATTTTAATATCTAAAATTTTACTATCCAAAAGTGGAAATAAATAGAGATAAATTGGGATTGATGATAATTGATTATCCAAAATTTCAGTGATAAAGATAAAGTTTATAACAATTTTTGAGATATTATTAAGGAAAGATTATATTTATTTGGGTAATATGATATTACACAAATAAATGCATTGGTTTGAAATTCAAAAGATAATATTTAATTATAATTAAATCCCGTCATTTTAGTAATAATTGAAGGCAAGTTTTGTACCTTTTTTTTCTTTTTTATTGGTGAAAAATACAGCGTCATGTTTTTGAGAGAAGATTTTAAAGATAACATTAATGTTGAATGATTTGGTTTTTTTTTTTTTGAATTGTAGTCTATTGATTTACATGATTGGGAGGGAGTTTTTTTTTTTTTTTGAGAGAGATTAATTAAATGAATCCAGTAATAACTTTGGGGATTCTTTTGGGGAGGGAATAATTCTGGTGCATTAATGTTCATTAATTCCGTCCATTAAATTTAATTAATTTTTATTTTCATATTTTAAACTATAGTTTTAAATGTCATTTGATAAAAATTTATTTACATAAAATTTGAAGGACTATTAGTATAATTGTTGTAAATATTTTTTGAATCAACCATTAGAAAAATGACACATAGGATTTTATCCTATGTGGCATCTTTAGAATTCTTTTTTGTTTTCTCTTTCTGGTTTCTCTCTTAGTATAATATATACTATAGATACTACAGACTATAGATGATATATCTCTAAAAAAATATTATCTACAATTTCATTAATTATTTTCGAATTTTAAAAAAATATTAATATTGTTTGATGATCAAACCAATATGTAATGATATTATTCAAGCCAATCGAAAAATCTTTTCAAAACAATCAGTGTTATTGTTGAATTAAAGAATCAATGATGATTTTTTGTATTTATTATTTTCAAATTTCAAAAAAACATTATATTGTTTAATGATCAAACCAATACTAATAGCATAACTCAAGTCCATCAAATTTTTTTTTCCAATCAATCAACTTTAATGTTGAATTAAAGAATTTCTGATGATTTTGTATTTATTATCAAATTTCCAATGATTATTAATATTGTTTTATGATCAAATCAAGACTTAATACCATTATCTAAGCCATGGGCACATCTTTTTCAAATCAATCTTATTTAATATTGAGATTTCAAAAATTTCTTGTTTTCTTTTTCATTTTAGGGAATGCAAAATAGAAAGTTTACTACACAATTAATTGATATACTTCAATTAAGAATTGATAATAATTTATTAACTGAAAATTCAAAGGACTGTTTATGTAATTGTTGTAAACATTTTTAGTGTCAACCTATAAGAAAATGACACATAGGATTTTGTCCTATATGTCAACGGGGGGGAGAAGTTTGATTTCCTCTCTCCGGTTTCTCTCTTAGTATAATACTATAGATTTTTCAATTTTGCTAAAACGACACTTATTTTGAAATGGAGTGAGTACAATTTTGCTGCTTCAGATTTTGAACCTTCTAAGTCAATATTATACCTCTCTTCTTTTTCTTTTGGTTTATAGAAGAGGCTAATAGCCTAATAAATCATACAATTACGTTACCTAAATATGAAACCTCAACAATATCTCTAATTACGATTTAATACCACCAATTTATCAAGCGATATTATCTCTTGAATTCTTTTTTGCCAAGGATGTCGAGAAGTATGCCGTGAAATTTGATTCTCGATAAGCATGATATTACCACTAGCTTTGAGGTTTGAACTCATTAGTTTTTGCCTTTTTGGTTTAGGATTTTAAGATTTAAAGAAAAGAAAAGGAGAGGGGGAAGCAAAAAAATTTACGGCGTTCCTTAAAACTTAAAAAAGGCAAAATATTTTTGACTCAGCTACAGTTTTTTGACCTGGTAAAAATATAAATTAAAAAAAAATTAAATGACATTTATAAAACGGCACACACACAAACAGAGTAAACCCCTACTGCCTTAAAATTAGGGTTTATCATGGCGGCGGCAGCCGAGGAAGAGTACTCATTGTAAGGAGTGCCGGTTCCTATAAAACAGGCCTAAATTTCTTACTTTTCTTTCGTTACCTTAGGCCAAATCTAGTGCCATTCCGATTGCTACTTCTCTCGTTAATTTGACTGTGTGACTGTTTGTTTTGTAAATTGATTGTGGTGTTTGGTTCTCCTTGCCTCTTCTTTCGGCTACAAGGGTTGAGATCTTGATGATCGATTTCTTGACGGCTTTGTTCTGGGGGCATAAATTAACCCATTTTCTTTGAGGGTCGTTGATGAAAACCCAGATCTGTTTCTGTTTCATTTCTGGGTTCCCTCTATTTGGGACAATCCTCTGTTTCTCTTACGATTTTCAGTAATCTGGCCATTGATTCTTTTCGATTCACCAATTGCCCTTTAAAATCTTTGAAATACTTGGTAAATAAATAAATAATCATGAAAATACTAATTATTACTACAGTATATAACTTCTGGGTGATTGTAGAAGTTAACAAAAGATGGATTTCGGCTAATTATTAGTAATTGGTAAATAAATAAATAATATTGTTACAGTATGTAACTTTTGGTTTTGGGTGATGGTAGAAGTTAACAAATATGAATTTTGTTAAAATACAGAAAAATATGGAGTATTATTTACCCATTTCTTTACAAAAGGATTTGAAAATTGATTTTTTTTTTTAACCCGACAATTTTAACTTTTTCTTCTTCTTTTTTTGGAAACGGCGACCATTTTAATTGAATTAGTAAAAGAGTTTAAATTGATATGAAAGTTTAATTTAAAATTATAAATAAGATATTTTAATATGATAAAAAGATAGAGTTTAAGATAAACTATAAAGCTGTTATTTAGTTATATATATTTATAGAAAAACTCTAGATAACTAGGATCCATGAGAGTTTTGGATACATCGAGATTGAATAATAATGATTAAAAGGAACCCATAGGAGAAAATTAGAGTTTTATTTCCAGTATTCTAATCAAGATGGATGTATCTCTAGAGGCACTAGCCATGGCAGGGGAGGATCATTCCAACTTGAAGTTGGATGCTGAAAATTGGGAGAAAAAGCACGTGCTGAATGTGTTGAACCCTCCACCGCATTTGCTATCTCCGACATCAAGAGACAATGAATTCGATTGTCACTTTGTCTTTTATTTTCCAGAAGAAGAACAAGATTGTGATAATCAAATAGAAGATGAACAAGTATGTCATCTTTGTAATAGAACAAGCAACTCCGGTGATATGAAGATTCCGAAGAAAACTAAGAGATTGTCTGAAGGTTTTAGATCACTTGGAAGGATGATGAAAAAGATCTCGAACAAGATAGGCAAATTCTTTATTGAGAGATTGATGAAGAAGAAGAAAAAGTCCAAAAAGGTATGTTGTATTTAATCTAACTGTGACAAAATCTTCTTCGACTTGTCCGAATGGGTCTGCTGAGTTTTGTCATGGGAAGCTTTAGAAGGTGCGAAAGTAGATAGGATGAAATCCTGTCATTAGGAGGAGGAAGTTTGGTATTTTGTTGACAATTAAGATCATCTATGTAATTTTTTATGTTTCTGATTAGCTAATTCGTACAATACAGTTTTTTCTTCTAATTATCATCTTAATTTAATCTTCCTATAATTGTTCAAATTCTTTTGATAAATTATTATGAATAGAGTATTGCTAGATTTCAGATTTGCATATTTGAAGTATTATTCTTGAGCATGATCGCAGGTGTTTTCACCTTTATTGATTTCTTGTTCATATCCACAACATCGATGCAAAGCAGAGGCTAGTAGCTGATCTGGTGGGACTATGGCATGAACGAGGCCCAAATTAAGAGCTTCTTCACCTTTTACAGGCTTTGATGTCTACATTTGAGAATAGAAACAAACAAATTACAACCAAACCCAAATTTACCAACAGATAGCCATCAAAGTTGCAAGGCCCCAATAGACTCGATTTGCAAAAGAAAGAAAAGTAATTTTGTAGTTTGGTTTTGTTTGGGATTTTGCTTATTTTTCTGTGCAAGTCTTTTTCCAAGACACGCATGAAAAAATCCAATTCCTCCATGAATAAAATGTGATCCAACAAAAGTTTTTGACTTTCTTTACCAAATTTTATGCTTTTGAAAGAAAAAAATAAAATGATATTCCTCTATCCCAAAATTATTATCTAGTTTGATATTTCAATTTCAGTACAATTTGAACTAGAAAGGAAAACTCAAACTTGATAATAATTATGGGACGGAAGGAGTGAATGATAACTAATTTTTCCTTGAGGATTCAACCCTATGTGGAGGAGTGATCCACCACAAAAATTAGTTTACTTCAGAATTATAATAATATTTAGTGGACAGAGAAAAAAAACCAATTAGAAGATGTGATGGGCCAAATGAATATACTTTTAATCATACTCTGGTCCCAGATTTCCCCGAAACGGCTTATCTAGATTCTTTTTGCTCTTTAATAATTTTACAAAAAACAAAAACAAAATGATACTTATTCATGATCAAGAGGCAAAAGTTTAGGATTATTTTTTTCCTATTTTCACAAAATGATTAAAAGTTTTTTTTTTTTTTTTTGGAGATTAGAAGTTTGTTATAACAAATAAATATTCTATATCTTGGTGGATGCAAAAAACAAAAAAAAAAAGAAGTCATATGGTCAAATTACTTACAATTAATTAGTTCAACAATTTGATACCTAAACAAACTTAATTAACTTTACCATTCAACACGTGTTGAATTAGAACCCATTTCTTCCTCCCCGTTTCCTATTTTCCAAGTTTTCCCACTTCAATTACAAAATTTAATTGTTAGAATGTAAGCTACCGACACATCCATTTCGCAATTAAATACTACTACATGTTACCTCCTAAGCTATCTAAGCTATCTAAATTTTACTTAATGAATGTGGACATTTATATTGTTAAAAACTTACTCGAATTGCATGTTAATAGCCCATCGAAATACTCAAAACTTTTGCAAGCTACATTCCATTTGCAACGAAAAAGCAAACGGATAATTCACTTAATTATTATACTATTTGAACAAATAATTGAATAACTGATTGGATAATAGTACTAATTTTTATGCACGTAGAAATTATTATAGCATTTGAATAATTGATCAAAACAGTGCAAGCACAAACTACATAATTTTCCCTTTTTGAAAATGTGTTAGTTATATCAGCTACAGAAATTCTAATTTTCTAATTCATCCACGCCTGACGTCTGACTATATCCCATTATATCTCTCCACCAATCTCAATTGAACATCACACACACACACACACACACATAGACAATCATACAAATATAATTCCGCGAAAAATTATTTCCGACGAAAAAAACACGCACTCACACAGTGCTTTAAAAAAAACACGACGAGTATATACTATTATAATGCCCAAGTGTTTTAACTTAACAGCGTCGGCTAACTGGTGCTTCCGATCATCTTTCTCGGCAGCTGGTCTCCGGTCAACCATCACCGACCTCGGCGACGGCACCACCATCCACTGCTGGGTCCCCAAGAAACCCAAATCGGGTAACCCGAACCTGGTCCTCATCCATGGATTCGGAGTCGACTCCGTTTGGCAGTGGTCGGAGACGGTCAAAATCCTGGTGCCCCATTTCAACATCTATGTGCCGGACCTGGTTTTCTTCGGCGAATCGTACACGACCCGACCCGAAAGGTCCGAATCGTTCCAGGCCCAGTGCGTGAAGCGGGTCATGGAGGCGAATTCGGTTTGGAAAATGAGCCTCGTCGGGATGAGTTACGGCGGGTTCGTGGCGTACAGTATGGCGGCGCAGTTCAAGGAATGCGTGGAAAGGGTGGTGATTTGCTGCGCCGGGGTTTGTTTGGAGGAGAAGGACATTAAAAATGGGCTGTTTCCGGTGAATGACGTGGATGTAGCCGCCGCCATCCTTCTGCCGGAGACGGCGGAGACGATGAGGGAGTTGTTGCGGTATGCTTTTGTAAAGCCGCCCAAAGCGTTGCCTTCTTGCTTGCTCAACGACTTTATCGACGTAAGTCTTCTTTATATTTTGTTGTAAATGAATTTTTGTTCGGTAAAAATAAAATAGAGGGGAAAAGATCACTTTATTCAAGCTATATAAGTTGGTATATGTGATAACGTGATAGAAATTTAGTTTGCAAAACAATTTAAATTTTGGAAGGATTTACTTAGCAAATAGTGATATCATTGTGTAGAGTTCTATAATTGAAGATATAAATTGATATTGTCGAAATTATTGTTCAGTTTAGATTTTTATTTTTAGTACATATTAAACTAAAAGTAAAATTTCAAACTACACAATAATTTTAGTACAGAAGGAGTATGCGCTAAAATGATTCAGAAAGATCGTGACACTAAACTAATAGAATATCAAAATTTATCATACTTTGATTGAAACGTTGTTTTACCAAGTGTTTATTAGTTCTGTGGCTGCTCAATAATTGTGTGATAAAACGGGTAGATCAATCAATGAGAATCTGATTCCAACTTTTTGAAATTGAGCGAAAAAGGTTTGTTCTAGAGTGTGTACGTATATGATGACCACCACAAAGTTTTTGTCGATTTTTTATGTATATATATTTTTCCTCTTAGCCATTCTTTGTCTGTACATCTTTGTGCACCTAATTATATATGCCAACTAATGGAGGAGAGGAGTTGTCTTTTCTTTTTGTTCTTTCTCCCAACACGAAGATTTAAAAAAAATAAAATTGGAATAGATTCATATAGAAAAATGCATCCCTTTGAACCATATGTTGATATTTTTCGGGAAAAATCATAATATGAGGTGAGTTATTTTGTGAAATGATTGGGATAATATTGGGCAGGAGATGTGCACAGATTTTTTGGAGGAGAGGAGGGATTTGCTTAGAGCTATCCCCAAAGACAGGAAACTCTCAGACTTACCCAAAATCACTCAGGTACAAAACCTAATTATCTAAAAATTCTATCTTATATCCATTGAGATTTTGTGCGCTCTTTTTGAGTTTTTTTTACTTGTAAAAATCCTACTCATTGATATGCTTTTATTCGAGTTTCAACTTTCAACTTTGTTATATGATACACTATGGTTACATGAAAATCCAGTCAAATGATTTTTTACATGTTATTCAATATGAAAATAAAATAAAAACAATTGCACGAAAAGATCTTCTTCTTCTTTTCTTTTTTTTTTTTTTTAATTATTCGAGTTTTGGGTTTAAGAGTAAGATTAAATTTTTTGGATTTTGAGAATTAGAAATCCAGGCTTGGATAATGTTGATGGGTTGGCAATGTTTGTTTGTTGATGCAGCCAACTTTAATTATTTGGGGAGAAAAAGATCAGATATTTCCAGTCGAATTGGCTCACAGATTAAAAAGGTGGTGCATCCCTTTCTTTTTTTCTTTTTTTTCTCCCCATGAATTATTGAAATTATTGGTGTAAATGTTTATGAGAAAATAATAACTGCATTCGATTAAATCATTTTAATTTTGATGCAGACATTTGGGGGAGAATGCAGAGCTAGTAATACTAGAAGGAACAGGGCATTCATTTGCTCATGAAAAACCAAAGGAGTTTCATAAGCTCTTAAAGACCTTTCTCTTAGCTTCCTCATGTAACCAAAAATTATACCCCTCTTCAACTGTTCCAACTTAAAGCCATTTCTATCCTCATAACAGTTTTTTTTTTTTCTTTTTTTTTTTTATATTAAATGGAATGAATTGAAAATGCAATTCTTCAATACCCATGTGATGTAATTCTTCTTCTCCTCCTCTTTTTGTGACCCCTAATAGTTTTTCCAGAATAAGCAATGATCATTATGTAAATTATTGTAATGAAACGAGACCACAGGAACCCCAATTTTTGAAAGGTGGTTCATGTTTATACAAAGAAGAATGTTGCCTACATACTTGGGTTCAATCTTCTTTGTTCACTTATATCAGACAAGTTACTGGTTCAGGAGATCTTCATTTACGTATATCTATGAGAACCATCAACTCGCGAGGGATTCAGTTTGTTACATTCAAAAGAGCAACTAATCCAATACACTAATCATGACAATTATTTTAAGACGAATCAAGTTACCATCAATATGACTGTGGATACCAACACTAGTCTGTTTAAAAATATTTGACAGCAATACTAGACGTTTCAACAACTAGTAAACAACATCCACCCACTCCAATGACTCTTGTCCCGTTGCATCACAACTAATGTCTGTTTTCTTCAATACTGCCAACCTTCCCCTAACTTATGAGTGTTCAAGAAAAATAACCAATTGAATGATTCATACTTCAAAAAGAAATTTTGAATGATTTTTTTGAATGATTCAAAATTCCTAAACTACCCAAACATATCCGGTGGAGTCGGGATGAATTTTGTTTATGAAAAATGAAACAATTGGTTGATTCCAACAACCTGCAACCAGAACATGCATGGCATCTCCTCAATGAACTATTCTCCATTATGCAACCCCCCCCCCCCCCCCCCCCCGCGCCAAAAACTATGGCATTTGTGAAAAATGATGGCCTAGTGACAAGCATTAGGAAAACCTCTTCACAGAATTTATTCACAAGAGATGCGGGGTAAGAGGAAGGTTAGGGCCTTAGGGGGATTTTAGATGAGAGCTTTAATTCTGACTATGTAGCTGAAATTCAAATCACAACCACACAACTAATCCGCATTGAGTACAAGGAGAAGTAACATCAATAATTGTAAGAGTTAAACAGAAAAGTACAGCCAGTTCTGATTAACCTTTGAGCTTATGTCGACAACAGAATTAAACCCTGGTACATTTGATGACAGCTCTCCCTATTGAAGTCGCTTTTGCACAAAGCACCAGTTCATTCACTTTCACTAGGTCTGCAAGATTAGCAAGTGACCAATAAAATCTCTCAAAAGGAAGCAACTAATTAGAATAGGACACAACGCGATAAAGCAATAAATTTAAGCATGAAAGAAAATGACACTGCCCAAATGAGCCAAGAAGCATCATGCAAATCATGTGTAAAAACATCTGGCAAATGGCACATGATTGGGTTTTCTATCTAAAACAGGCTTTGAGTTACTGAATACGAAATCCTACCTCTGCCTGTATCTCATCAGCTTTAGCGTGCTCACCTGCAAAATAGAAAAGACATGCACTTTAGGTCTTCCATCACAGAGAAGGGAAGATGCCATTCCTCATTACTACTATTTTGTTATTTCCAACCTCATCATTTTACCAGGAGAGAGGTTAGAGGGCAAAACTAAAGAAGTAAAGCAGTCCCTATAAATTATTTTCTTCCAACTACACTTTTCACCAGCAATTTACATCCATATCTCGAGAGGAGCAAGTATTTCAAAAGCTTCACCAGGTTATTTCATGGTGTAAATATTTTTGTGATGTCGTTCAAATGACAAAGGAATGAAAAGCTGAAAATCAGCATTAAACCATCATAGCTTACCTCCCTCTTCTGGAAGATCTGAGGTCCATAATGTTAGGTTATCCCTAAGAAGCTGCATAATTAAGGTGCTATCTTTGTAGGACTCCTCATTAAGGCTGTCAAGTTCAGCTATAGCTTCATCAAATGCTTGTTTGGCAAGGTGGCATGCCCTGGCACAAAGATATATCACCCTTCAGTACAGCACAAAATGGCCATTGAGTATAGCAGAGCTACACAAGTTGATTGATTATGGATAGAGTTGTTGCACATGTTTGTGTTAGAAAAGAAGCATTAATTGACATGTATTTTAAGCAGCCTTATTTGCACTTGTTTGTGTTTGACAAGCATTAATTGAAACGAGTTTGAAATGACAGAGAAATACAAATCAGGGTAGCTTATCAAAGTAACATCAAAATCTGCATTTTGGAGTAGTTCGATATTAGATGTTCTTCCCTCATATGCATTTCTAAAGACTACAAATAAGAGCTCAATTCTGAAAAAACCAACCGCGTACATTTTTTTTGCAGTATCAACAAATGGTTTAGCAAGCTATGAGAAAGTAGGTGAAAATATTGCTAAATCCCAGAAGATCTGGCCAACCATTAAAGGGCTATCTGGCAGGCAAAACAAAATAATAATTCCAAACAATGTACGTAAGACTAATTCTCTAGGCAGATGTTAAATTTGCTAAGCATCAGCTTTACACCATCTCAAGCTTGATTACTGATTAAAATCAACTTTTCAAAAAGATCATGTTGTAGTGTATATACATACTTGGACCATTCTTTGAGTAATTTTTTTGCCACCTTACATTTCAAACTCTACACAGCTAGGCGATGGTATTTTATGTTAGAAAACCAATCAAATAGAGTGTTTTTATCAATGTAATGAGTTTGTGTGAGTGTTCAAAGAGGAAGAAACGGACACACGGACCTTTCAGGGGAGTTCAATATCTCATAGTAAAAGACAGAGAAATTCAATGCCAAGCCAAGTCTAATTGGATGAGTAGGAGGAAGATCAGTACTAGCAGCAGCAGTGGCAGCCTGTAGTGAAAAAATGATATAGTTGATCATTTAAGCTGAAGAGAGACTGTAGACAATTAATGAAAGATTAATTGCAATTATAAAAACCTAAATGAGCTTCAAAATGCAATAACTATAACGAAAAGAAAGCTTCTGGAAACCTCATAGGCCTTGAGTGACTGATCTGCTGCCTGTTTACGATCCTCCCCAGATTTGAACTCAGCCAAGTAACGGTAATAGTCGCCCTTCCTGAATAAAAATATTTAAGGTGCATTTTTAGTAATTTTGAATATTAGGTGTTATTTATTTCCAACATTATATCTAAAGCATAAACTTATTCTTGGTAAGCAATTAGAGAAGTGGGGAAAAATATTGGCATATAACTCACATCTTGTAGTAGAAAACAGTAGATTCTCCAGAAGAAGATGGAAGAAGATGCTCATCTATCACAGTCAAGATATCATTGCATATTCTTGTAAGCTCATCCTCTACCCTTCCTCTGTAAACTTTTATCCTTTTCACATTCTGTTCATGGCCCTTGCCCTCCTCCTTCTGTTCAATGGAAGATAATATCCTCCAAGATGCCCTTCTTGCACCAATAACATTTTTATACCCAACTGAAACTAGATTTCTTTCCTCAACTGTCAGCTCTACATGCATTTTGGCAACCTCCTTCATTGCTTCAACCATCTCTGGGAGAAGAGAAAAATCAAAACCAAAAATACAAACAACACGACGAGAGACATAGAAGTTAAATCCTATGAAGGCCACACCCAGGAAGCATCACAATTCACAACTACTCACAAGAAAAACACAAGTTGAAACTTTGAAAGTGAAAAAAGGCCTGATGAATCCCATAGTCCTTCAACAAAACGAAGAAAAAAAACCGCGAAAAAATTCAGAGACCTTGCAGTCTTTTGCATTACAAAGAGAGGATCCAATGAATGTACTCTCATCCATCTTACTTCTTAAATTTTGGCAAGAAATGACAAAAAATTTACTAGTGGGGGTGACTGGAGCATGAATTGGTGTTTCTCTTTGACGCAAAAAAAAAAAAAAAAAAACAGTAGCATCAATATGCTAAGCTCAGATATAAATAAAAACAGTAGCAAGTAATATGGAAAACTTGAATGTATCTACTAGAAGTATTGTATTTCTAAGAGTCTTAAATTAACTTTTGAAAAAAGTATGAGGAAGAACAGACCAATTAATGTTGTACCTACACTAGAATGAATCCAAAGTGATTCATATCCTCATTAGATCAAAGGCTTAAAACTGCAATGATGACGCAGGAAAAAAAAAAAAACCACCAAAAAATTCCTTAAAGCTCAGTACTTCGCCAAAGAAAATCGAATTCAAGAACAACCCAGAACATATCTTCAATCTCAACATGCAAAAGTAGAAGCCTTTAAACAAACAACATCCAGAAACAAACAAAACCCGAAATTCCTAACTCTCAAACATTTCACACAGAAGAACATAGAGGTAGCCTTAGGCACAGAACAAGAAGAAAAAAAAATCAGAATTACAGAAGAAGATAACAGGAATACCATCATATCTTTCAGCTTGTTCAGCAAGCCTAGCCAAGTAAACCTGCTTTTCTCTTTCCTTCTCCATCTTGCGTTCTCAGCCTGTGCTTTGCTCTCTTCTCCTCACTTTTCTTTTTTCTCTGTTCTTTCGTCTTTTCCCACCAGCCCAGAAAATAGAGATTTTCATATAAAGTTAAATAAAAAGAAAAAAAAAAAAGAGAAAAACAATAAAAAGAAAAGAATGAGAAAAAATGATATCGTTTTCGGGTCGTGAGGCCAATTGGGTCCACCTGGACGGCCCCACCTTTGAGAGAGATAACTGCTGTTTGTATAGTGTCTCGGTGAGGACAGGAATTAACGGACGGTTGAAAATCCGCAAGGAAGCAGCAAAGATGGAATCTGGACCCTCCCTTTGTTAGAATCTTTAATTTTAAGAGGAAAAAAGCTAGCCGTAGGATTCTGCCCCCAAAACATAAAGTAAACGGAAGTCGTAGGATAGGATTTTGGTGTTTCTAGAAGGAGAATATGTAGGTAAATTTGTAAGGTGGGCGGGTCTTTGTCGGTCACATGGCAGACATTTTACTAGATTTACTGCTCTTAAACAGTACCTTTACTGCACTCTGCAGTGACGGTATATTGTCAGATTCCTTTTCTCACGTTTGTAACAACAAGATTATGAGTAACTTGTTCATTCTTAATAAACCTATCAAACAATTATCTACAACTCAATACAAAGATAGTAACATGGTTAAGGTTAATACATTATTATAACAATACAATATTTCCTTTCAAGATCATGAGTAATATTCTTTCCGTCCTAAAATAATTGTACATTTTAAATATTTATTTTTAGTAAAAATTGTACTAAAATAAAATATCAAACAAGACAATAATTTTAAGACCAGGTTTGTAAGAAAATTGTCTTAGTTTTGCTTAGATCATTGGAGGTCTTTTACAGTGAGCTATCTCGTGCATTCAGATTTGATTCATATAATCACTGTTTAAACTTTTTTAATTCACTGTCATCCCTTTTGCTTTTTGGCTTTTCCAACTGATCTGCGATAAGGCTGTACAGCAAAAAAAAGTGAACACTTTCTAACCACAATACTAACATTGTTTGTTCATTTTAGAAGGGGGAGGGATTGAGGAATAAAAACCTCAACTAAACCTATTTGATCAATAGAAAGATGATTATTGAATTAAAGAAAGTGTACAAAGCACCTTTTAAAATTTCTTAAAATTATCTAGAAAAAAACTAACTCCAATTGCACAGAAAGAGTTGGGGTGTCTTTCTCCAAGAACAGGACTGAGAGATGAGCGCGTCTTAAACTAATGTACTCAAACTCAACAAATCAACTTTCAACCCAGAGATATGTCCATAAAGAACAACTGAGCAAGAAACGTTAACTTCACATTAGAGTAATGCCAGTCATAAGAAGCAGCTTGTAGCTCAATATATCAAGCACACCAGATTCAGATACGTCAACTTCGAATCGTAAGGGAATGTTGCCTATGGCGCGGTGGTTTAGTCTTAGTCTGACCACCCGAGCTCGATTCTCATCTGCAGCACGTAGTGTGTTGGTATCGGAAGGATTACACACTTTGAATGATGACACTATAGCTACAACATGGAAACATCCTAATCAAAGACCTCAAGCTCCTCCTAATCCGAATGGTACCAGCTGCAAATTGGATTGCAAGTTTTCCACTCATATACTATGTTTTCTATAATGTGTGTTCAAAAGGAAGAGAAAAAAAAAAAGAAGCACCCAACAAAGAACAAAGAACAAAAAACAAAGCAGAACACAACTCACAAAAAAAAAAGCAGGCGGCATCAATCAGAGTGTTGTTGGTCCAGACTCCAGTCCATCATCTTCAATATTCTCTAGTCACTGTTGGTTCATGGTCCCAACAGAACAATGATACCTTCCAACTTGTGCTTTTTCCTACCTAGCCTACCAACTGATATTAGTGGCTATTGACTTCTAGACTAATCATCATCATCATCATCATCATCATCTAACACATAACTCAGACGTTTACCTGTTTAGTTTTGCAATATGCACAATAGTCATTAGATTCCATCACTAAGTTTATAGGGACCAAACAAGATCTAACCATCAGATAAAGAGCCATAGTTGCTACTTTATACAGACAAGGTCGAATGTAAAGATGTCATCATTTAAGGCTATACACAAATTCAACCCTGTTTTATTGTGCTTTTAATTGGTGGTGGAAACAAATCCTAATCTACAATACAAGGAAATGAATACAAGGAAATGAAGCCAGTTGCTTCCTTTTGTCAAATATGAAATTTCTAACTTCCTATCAGGTAATACAAGAGCCCCAAATGGAACCACATTGCGGTTAGCTAAAATGATCCTACATGGAAAAATTCTTAGGAATTCCAACAGACCCATATTATATATACTCTATAGCTGCTTTTAGGCTACAATTCGGTCAACTTCAACTAATTGGTACAACCCTGCTGCTGCTTCCATCACCAAAGGAAACCGAAGCTAAAGACTTTGACGCCCAGGCCTTTGCATTCATAGCTCCTTCCTGCAGATTACTTCTCTTGCATGGCTCCTTCAAGGAATTAAATACCTGCTTCGCTCGATTGAGATAGATCAGAGGATGTTCCCACAAGTTCCTCAGCCTCATATTCGTGATATACCTTCTCCAAGCTAATTGACCATATCTACGTAGAGATGGGAAGAAGAGATAAAGCAACCGCACAAGCACAAATGCGGTGGCCAAAGCCAAATAAGTTTCTTGCCCAAGCAAATTTTCAGGAGATCTAGCCCATGGAAACGGGCAGCTTTCAGGATCGCTGCTGTTGGATTTCCATTGATCTGATAAGCACCCCATCTTATCCAGAGATATCCCACTTGTCGGTGCTGTCTCAATGCCTACACCCGAAAAGCCATAGTTTCCTTTAGTTACAAAGGAGTAAATGAACATCAAAACACCACAAAAGATGCATCAAAAGCCACGTTCCTTTACAAGTCAGTACCTCCCGAGGCAGCCTTTCCAATTAGTGAAAAATCCACCCCAAGTAAAGTTCTTTTTGTGAGAATAAAGATTCTTATTGAAGCCTACACATTGTTCAAGAAAATAAACACCAAGCCAGGTTCTGTGCTTTTTGATCCTCGTCCACTTGAAGAGCAAGACAAGAGGACAAAAGAAATGGGGGAAGAAACATCTTTGTTCAGATCCACTTGTCTGGGGAGTTAACTTCGCAAGCTGAGAACTAAGGTTTCCAAGCATTTATTAAACTAATTCTACCATGATCAAAAAATGTAAATGTCATTGTTCCTTAATGCATAACTGACTTATGTTATCCCGTGGATATCTACACCTTAAATCACCCAAAATTTAGGCATCTTCCCATCAAAAACCAAACACCCTAAAAGCATTTCAACTTAGAATAGCATTAACTTCATTCAAATTGCAGCCAGATTTTATGTGCTATTAGCTAGCACATAATAGCTACAAAATTTAATAAGCATTAAAACTTTGCCAGAGCTACAGAATTTTATAAGCATTACAACTTTGCCGGAGCAATAGATTTCACCTCTTCAAAATTTTGACATTATGCAAAGACTCAAAGAAAAGTTATTGGCACGGATAACAATCGATCATAATGAAGAGCTTAGCACAGTGGTCAGAGTAAAGTTTTACCAGTAACATCATTGTAGAAAGTCACCAGAGAATCAAGTGATCGGGAGCCATGATATCGCACTCGAATGGTGGAGTTTAACAGGAATACTGTTGGAAAACCGTGAACTCCATACTTTGATAGAGTGCTGAAAAGAAAGAACAATAATGCTTCCATAATCACATATGATAACACAAAGAAAACATGAATCAGAAGAAAAAGCTCGTAATGCTCCTACCTTGGCTTGACAGCCGATTCTTCAATAGCAAAGTGAGGGACAGAGGGAAACAAGGAAGCTAGGATGGAAAAGGACGGTGTAAAGCTTGCAGAGAATGGACACCAGGACGCATAGAAAAGCAGAGCAACATAATCATGTTTATTCCCATAAACCATGTTCAGTGCCCTCTGCAATGAGGCCTCATCTCCCTTCACAGCAGAAAAGTGAACTTGTCTTAGATTTTACAGAGCAAAACAACATAATCCTCAAAATACAAAAGGCTCGTTATCTAAAGTAATTCATCATGCTCACATCGATTTCCAACAGCTAAATTCTGGAACCCCCTAAGATATTTTTAGACCTCCACCAATGTTGCAATTTCAAAAGGGCAATAAGCAAATGTTCTCAATGACCGGTCTTGAACACCAAAATTACATACTTGAACAGCTCTAGGGAACTGACATTTTGTAGAAACTCCTCTCACAACTTCAGTAAGCTAAATTCTGGAACCCCCTAACATATTTTTAGACCTCCACAAATGTTGCAAGTTCAAAAGGGCAATAAGCAAATGTTCTCAATGACCGGTCTCGAACACCAAGATTACATACTTGAACAGCTCTAGGGAACTAACATTTTGTAGAAACTCCTCTCACAACCTCAGTGAGCTAGGGGAAAACAAAGATCCAATAACATACAGCAAGTTGCATATGGATAGAACATGTATTTCCTCCCATCAGATGCTACCGAACCCATTTTCTGTCGGGGATAGATACTCTAAAGTAGATTTCCAGGCTACTACAAAAGACATCTACTCTCTTTTCTTTTCTGCTAACTAGTGGTTTAGTCCATTATCAATACTATAATTCAACTATAACAATTGTGCTATGTGTTAGCATACTACAGAATTGAACCATTACATAGTGGCATACATTGAATGAAAATACCCAACAACTACACGTAGAGGAGGTCAAACGAGAAATATTTATTAACAAGAACCTTCAAATATGATCTTGCTCATGATCCTCAAATGAGATAGCATCACCGCACACAAAAATTCAATTCGCTGGTTTATTTCTACCTTGTATATCTATTGATATTACACAAAAATTTGTAAAACCATCAACAGAAAGGGAAAATGGAATGGTCCGATTTTAAACTGATCTTGAGCATCAAAATTTAAAAAGAATATTACTAACCAAAATTCTAACAACAAGCATTCTGCATAGACTAAAAGAAGGATACAATTTAAAAAACAAAAAAAGAAAAACAAAAAAGAAAGATATACAGCGATTATTAAAAAAAATTATTTACTCTAAAAATGAAAAAACGTAAGATGGGCCTTGAAACTGAAAGAAATCAAGCTTTTTAATTACCTCAATTACTCCATTAGCCTGCAAATTTCCGATCCAATCAACAGGGCATTCATCCTTCCGGGTCGCCAAAATTGAATCTTTGACGGTAGCTACTGGACACACGGCCGTCGACGGTAACCTAACGTTGTCGGAGGCCGATATCGCCCCGAATAACAACAGAAGAGCCAACCCAGCTCCGAATCTCTCAAAGATCGCCATTTTCCCAAAAAAAAAAATTAAAAATAAAAAATAAAAAATCTATCAATCTAAAGTAGGTTCCAGCTAAAAATTGAAAATGACATAAAAGAAAAAAAGATTATGAATATCTAAAATAAGAAAACCCAGGATAAGAAACCCTAGAGAGAAGATAAGGGGAAAGAGGAGAGAAGAGAAAGGAGGAGAGGGAGAGGCCGGAGCATCTAAAGCTTTCAGAGGCTGAGGTTTGTTGTTTTTGTTTTGTGTGTGTGTTTTTTTTAAGTGGAAGATGATGATGATGATGATAACTATGGTGATTCTATGTTTTACAATAATCGTTTGTTTAGAGGCAATTAAGGAAAAACAAAAAAGAAGAAAAAGAAAAGAAAGAAAACTAATAAAGAATGAACCTCTTTAATAATTTCATTTTTAAAAAAATTATATATTCAGCTCTTTGTCTGTGGGTATGAAGGGAGCTTTATATGTTTACTGAAATTATTGCTTTTTTAGGTTGGATTATCATTATTGTAAAAAAATAAATTAATCCTCCAAAAAACAATTGACTTTTTTTATTAAAAAAAATTATTTTGTTCAAATAAAATGGTATACAACATGGATTGTTCAGGATTATTCCCTTCATTTTGAAATGATTATCCAGTTCTTAATTTTCATTTCTGTTATAAATTATATTAAAAGTAAAAAAATCGAATATAAGAATCGTATTTAAGACAAAGAAAACATGTATTAATCCATACTGAAAAAGCTAAAGCTATATAGAGTTCTATCACAACTCATAACTAAAAAATAATTATTCTTTTAGTTCTGAATTAATTCTCCAAACTTAAAAATATTTCATTTTTCTTTCTTCCATCCTAAAATAAGGCCAATGCCAAAAGACTCTTTTAAGGTATTGTATATAGCTTCTTTTTTATAAGAAAAAATATATACTTTGAATGTATCAAAATAATTGTCTAATTTGTATTATAAGTGAAAATTCAAACTCAATAATTATTTTTGAATAGAGAATCTTTATATTGATTTTGAGAGAATTATATTATAACATAAAACTTTAGGCAGCGTTCTTTTGTTCGGAAAGGGAGTCAAAGAAACAAATCTTATGTCTAATTGGAAAACACCTTTTTATTAAAGAAATCTTTCATTACCTTTTACATGTTTCAAATATGTATTAGAATCGTTACTATTTGACAATTGATGCATTTTTTTCTATTTTTCTTTAAATTAGGAAATAAATTTTAAAAATTTAAATAAATTATAAGAAAATAAATTTTACATAATAATTTTTTATAAAAAATGAATTTTCAGTACCATATCAACATTTCAGCTTAAATTTCTATTAAAAAAAGTATCACTAGTAAAATAAGTAAAAGAAAGGGTCAAGAAGATATTCTAGCTAAAATAGGAGAACGAGCGATTTGACGAATTTGGTGGGAGAAGAATCTGATTATAAAGAAACTCAATTTTTATGGCACAAAATTTGACGTTCCCAATTTTGTGCTTACTTTTGATCTTCTTTTTATAATAATTAATAAATTTTAAGAATAAAAAAGATAAAGGAGAGTAATCATGTGAGATTATCAAAACATATACTGTTATAAATATATTAATTAATATGTGGATGTCCATAAGGTAAGAGAATTATATTAGGATTCTATATATAGAGATAATATTTCGTTAGAACTCATATTCATTTATCTTATCTCTGTATCTACTTGCCTATAAATAGAGGCATGTCCCTATTGAATAATATGCACCTGAATCCTCTTTCTCTCTGTCTGATAGTTCTTCTTCCTAGTTTATATTTATTTTATAATACGTTATCAACACAATAAAATTATGTAAATCTTTATATGGCTTAAAGCAAGCGGGGTGAATGTGGTATAACCGTCTTGGTAGCTATTTGATTAAAGAGAGTTATTTGAATGACCCGATATCTCCATGTGTTTTCATCAAAAGATGTGGATTTGAGTTTGTAATTATTGCAGTTTATGTTGATGATTTAAATATTATTGGGACTCCTGCTGAGCTCCATAAAACTGCAAATTACTTGAAGCAAGAGTTTGAGATGAAAGATCTTGGAAAGACCAAATTCTGTCTAGGGTTGCAAATTGAGCACCTAGGACATGTCATTTCTTACACCAATCCACATATACTTCAAAAGTAATTAAACGGTTTTATATGGATAAAGCACATCCATTAAGCACTCCAATGGTGGTGAGAACACTTGATAGGGATAAAGACCCTTTTAGGCCTTGTGAAAAAGATAAAGAACTACTTGGTCTAGAAGTACCATATCTTAGTGCTATTGGGGCATTGATGTATCTATCTAGTCACACACGTCTTGACATATCATTCACCGTGAATTTACTAACAAGATATAGTTCCTCACCTATACAAAGGCATTGGAATGATGTTAAACATATATTTCGTTACCGCCAGGGGACGATTAGATAAAGGTCTTTATTATTCTAAAACACTACCTCCTAATTTGGTTAGGTTTTGCAGATGCAGGGTATATGTCTGATCCCCATAATGGTCAGTCACAAACTGGCTATGTGTTTACCTGTGGTGGGACAGCCGTTTCATGGCAGTCTATGAAACAAATAATATCTGCAACTTCGTCTAATCATGCAGAACTTTTGGCGATTCATGAAGCAAGTCAGGAGTGCGTTTGGCTACGATCTATTGCCATCATATTCGAGAATCATGTGACTTACATTTAGACAAGGATCCTCTTACCACATTATTTAAAGATAATACTGTATGTATTACCAGTTGAAGGACGGATACATCAAAGGAGATAGAACAAAGCATATTTCACCAAAATTTTTCTTTACTCATGATCTTCAGAAGAATGGTGAAATCCATGTTCAGCAAATTCGTTCAAGTGAAAATCTGGCAGACTTATTCACATAGTCACTACCTACGTCAACATTTGAGAAGCTGATATACAAAATTGGAATGCGAAGATTGAAAGATGTCAAGCAATGTGCTCAACAGAGGGGGTAACCCACGCTGTACTCTTTTTCCCTTGATCGGGTTTTGTGCCAATGGATTTTCCTGACAAGGTTTTTAACGAGGCAGCGTTATATCTGGAAATATCCTCTTTTTCCTTTATTAGATTTATCCTAATGGGTTTTTTCTAGTAAAAATTTTAACGAGACATTATTTCAAGAAATGAACATCCAAGGGGGAATGTTATAAATATATTAATATGTGGATTTTCATAAGGTATGAGAATTATATTAGAATTCTATGTATAGAGATAATATTTTGTTAGAACCCATATTCATTGATCTTATCTCTGTATCTACTTGCTTATACATAGAGGTCAGTCCCTATTGAATAAGATGCACATGAATCCTCTTTCTCTCTCTCTGATAATTCTTCTTCCTAGTTTATATTTATTTTATAATGTATACAAGTTATCTGATTACTTGAATAAATGAGTCTCTTAGCCGTTATTCGTTACAAAACACGATATTCGTAGAAAACAAAATCAAATAATCATTACTTCTATTTTAAAGAATATAACCTTATGGTCGAAATAAGTTGTAACCTTAGGTGTCTTCTTTTTATTTATTTGACAACCCTTATTCACTCAAACACTTCCTATTTAACCTTTTAAAATTCCCTTATTCCCCTATTTTCCCCCTCCCCTTTTTAACCACTGGGGTACTTTCCTAACCTCTCATGTTAAAAAGATCCCTATCGTAGAAATACAGTAAAAACCTCCCTAAATTAATCCTCTATTAATTAATAACCTTTATTAATCAATATTTTTTGTGCCCAATTCAGGACCAATACATAAAATAAAAAAAAATTTGATTAATTTATAAGATAATAATTTTTCAAGAATCTCCTATGTAAATATAAGTCCCCACAATTTCATAAATTAATAAATACCTTAAATACTAAATTATATTTGAAGATTAACTTATATTTTAATTTAAGTATTTTTATTTAGGTTTGAAATTATCACGTTTTTGTTCCATTAAAAAAATTATAATGTTATGGTTTAGGGTTGCAATGGACTTTTCTTGATATAAAAATAAATCTTTTTTTTTGTATTTTCTTACTTATAGGATTAAAAAAACTCTTTAAATTAATAAAATATTAATTTATCGACAAATTAATAACTCTATAAATTAATGAATTTTTTGAGGTCCAAATGTATTAATTTAGAGAGATTTTACCTTGTTTTGCTTTGTTGGCCTACTAGTATTGTGCACGTGCGTTGCACGACGGGCAAATATATTTCTATTAACTTTTGAAATGTTTCATCAATGTTAATTGTATAAAAAATAGTTAGATATCAGCGGAAATGATCTTTTAGTCAAAATATTATTTATTAATTATTAAAATAATGCCCCAGTAATAAAAATTAGAGTGTTCCAGAAAAAAAAACGATAATATGAAAAACAATAACTCATGTTATGATCTTATATAAAAAGGAAAACAAGAAGAAAATAAAAGCAAAATAATCGATGCGGACTTATATATTTTAAGATTTTTTAAGGAATTCACTCTTGAAAGAGCGACGTATAAATAGCCTGACAAAGCAAAAATAGGCCCACCTTAGATGATGTATAAATAACCATGTGTAAAGACCTGGCAAAGCAAAAATAGGCCCACCTTAGATAAGGTATAATTTTGCATTTAATTAAAATATTATTTGATATTATAAAAATTAAAACTACTTAGTTCAATATTGTAAATCCATTATTTATGCTTATGGCTGAATTTTACAATTTTAATATCACAACTAAGCATGTTTAACAAAATAAAAAACTATAAACTCAAAAGACCAAAGTGTAATTCCAAAAAAATAAACCATGAATAAAACACCGAATTGGACCTCAACAATTTTGATAATAAGGTAGGAGTCCATGACTTAGACTCCAGTAGTGTTAACTTTAAGGAAAGAGGCCGGAAAAAATATTTATGTTTTTTCGCACGGTAAAAATTTCACAACAAATAAGTTTTTTGCACGGTTACTGGAGTGC